ATAGTGTGCTCAAACTAACATCAAAAGCAACTGACAGTCATCATTTACTACATAATCTGTGATATTATTTGACAATCCAGTATAACGTTTGTGAATGGTGCAGTTTGTTGTACTTTTAGACGTCCATCCTGAGCCTTATGCAACCATCAAAACACTAGCATCCCAAATTCAGCCATAAAAATACAAGAGTGTCAAAGAAGGCACAACAATTAAATATCAAATGAAAATCTTTCCAACATAACATACAGATTAAACTCATACTGAGCTTCTTGTTGAGCACTAACACTAACAAATACTAGCCAACTTCAAAGAAATCACACAAACACACTTACATATCATTTCCATTTCATTTCCATTTCATTCCCCATACCATTCTTTGTTTTGTTTACACTTGCAGGCACATTACTTCAATTCAAGACAGCACCATGCATCCCAACCTCTTGTAATCAAAGACCTTTCACTAAAAAAAGGATGTGATACATCGCAGAGAACTGCCTTTCCTTTCCTTGTGACTCACAGTCACCATAATAGTGTTGCAACATTTGGTTGATGTTGCTGGATTTTATCCTCTCACTTTAAAATCTAACAATGTTTATTTCTACAGCTGTTCCATTATTTAACAATCTCTTCTATTCCTCTAATTAAGAGGGGTGAACAATCAAAATCAAATCATTTTCTTTGTGAAATAGGAAATGTTGTCACCAATTTGATGCGTCTGTGCACATGTATGTAAACATTGCTGCTGCTACTTCACACCTGGGTATAGGCAGTAATCACAGCCACAGGCAGCCAGATAAGGGAGTCATAGGCAAATGAGGACAGAGAACTAGGAGTCAGAGGAAGCCACACATTTAACGTGATAATGTTTTTTGGAGTCCTGTCATGTTTAGTGTCATGCTTCACACAAGTTTGTTTTCACGTTTTTGGTTGTTAGATAACCACTAGAGAACATATTCCCAGTGTTTGAAAAGTGGGCGGACACAAACTAACAAAAGTGATCGGTTCATCTAGAATAGAGCTTGTTTTATTTTCAGTCACAAACACTGACTTTGGGATTAAAAACAGCACTGATGAGAAATTGCGCTCTTGTGGAGCCTCTGTTATCAACATCCAAGAAAAAAATCACCACACTTCATTACAGCACTCAAACCTTGATGCTTCTACTATGAACATCTATCCATAGAAGCCATATAAGTGAAATACCAACAGAATGAACTGGGCTTATGGCTTCAGTCTATACGATGGCAGTAGTTTACATGCTGCAAACACAAGACAGTTACGGTACTTCTATTCTTCTACCTTTTCTCCTCTGTAATGGGGCCAGTGTATTTTCTTTGCTAACATGAACATAAAGGAAATTGATGCTGTTCAATTATTAAATAATTGTTTGTGTTTTGCTCAGACCCTCTGTGCCATTATGCTTAATGTTAATAAAGTGTGTATCGTCTGACATTTAAAACAACTGAATAAACACACGTCTGAGCTGTTTACTCAGTACTTCCCAGCAGTTGTTCAACACCCTGCCTCTCACAAAGAAAAACCACTAGCTGCTTTTCCAGAGCACACCTTGTGTCAGATAGTTTAATAGTCCAGTTCTACTTATGAGGATGGGACAGGTGTCAAAATATGGCATTCACCATGTGAATGTGAAAAGGAGGCGGATTAAACCGTGAGAGGGTTAAGCCAAGGTCTAGAACTGAATGAAAATGCTGTGGAAACATCAGACATGGAGGGCTGAACTGCTTGCTGCAGTCAGGCGACAACTTAAGCTGCAGGGGAAGCTCATTTTAAAAGACCTACAGCACATCAACATCTTTGACTTAGTCCTTAGAAGGCTTTAACATATTGTTTGTTAGTAGATGTGTCAAAGTGTAAAACCACTACATGTTAGAATAATCTCCAAACCAGCAGCTGGTATTTAAAGCAACTAACTGGTAAAACTTGAAGAGCTTCTACAAACTAAACAAAGCATTTACTTTAACAAAGACCAAACCAAGCATCAAGGAACAAATATAGTTCACCACATTCTACTTTAATCCGTGTTTCATTCTGTAACCATGTAAACACTAAACATTGAGTGTGAAAGGTATCTGCAGGCTCACCTCTCTCTGCTTGGTCTCAGGGCACTCAGAGTGCAGCGTCAGGGTCGCCCCCTCTATATTACGGGGCATGGGGGTGGAGCCTGGATTTATTGTGAACTGGATCTGGTCCGGTGAAATGGTGTGATGCACATAACCCTGTGACATTCCATCAGGGTCATGCATAAATGCCAGAGAGCCCTCCTCCTCATCTCCATCACCTTCCCCTTCGGTGAGGAAGGTGACCCCATCTTCATCCCCTCCACAGTGACCCTCCTCTTCACCCTCCTCATCCAGGCGTATGGGGTCCCGCTCAATGAGCACTGTTGTGCGGTCATAAACACGCCCGGAAGACGATGAAGGCTCAGGAATCAGGTCATCGTCTTTGTCATAGTGGATCTTGTCTTCCTCTTCATCGTCATCCCGCGTTAGAGAATCCACCTCCACCTCGAAATACATAGTGGCCTCTGAACGAGGGCCATTCTCACTCATGGTCCCTGGTGCCTCTCCTTCCTTGGCAAGGAGGACTGCACACTCACACTGTAAACGTTACAGCCTGAAAAATAGGTGGTAAAGCATAAATGATTTATTTCCTTTTCTACCTTTGCTTAACATTAAAACTAGTTCGCATCAGCTTTATGCGCTTGAAGACAAGAGACTAAAAGGAGCATTTTATAGTTTAAAGTAAAAAATAAAAAAGGAGACAGAAACGAGCTAAAATGTGGGTTACAAAAACATAACAGAAGGAGGAAAATGAAAAAGCAGTTAGAGTGCAGTAGTATTTGCATTATAAGTCCTAGGTTTAATTAAATATAAGTGATGGCAAACAGAAAGATTTTAAGCCTGAATTTAAAGAGCTGAGAGATGAGGCAGCAGAGCTACATTTTCAGGGTGGTGGTTCAAGATATGTGATGTTTAAAACCTAAATGCTGCTTCTCTACATGCGTTTGACTCCTGGGACAGGGCGCAAACCAGTCCCAAGTGAGCAATAGAGTTCGGACAGTCAATGATTTTTCTCTGGTATATCTGGCAGGCACAGATGCAGTATACATGGAGAACTGAAAAGCTATTTTCCAATGCACTGCAACACAGCATTTATAGCGACCGCTAATTTCCCACGCCTGTCCCGAAAAGGCCTTCAATATAAAATAAGAGATAACTAATATTGGGTTGACAGTTCTAAAAAGTTTCAAGGCTTGTCAGCATGCACATATACAAAAACAAACCCCACACAAATGCGTATACACATCCACACCCACATACAGTTAACATCCATCTATACCTTCCAGCCCAATTACTCATATAGTAGATATGGTGTAGACATGTTATCTAGTTAAAAGAGATAGGCTCAGACACTGGGCAAAATGTTTTACACCTGGGCGGCTGTGGCTCAGTTGGTAGAGTCGTTGCCTCTCAACCGGAAGGTCGAGGGGTTCGATCCCCATGTCCGATGTGTCCTTGGGCAAGACACTTAACCCTGCATTGCTCCCACTGCTTCAGTGGCGGTGTATGAATGGGATTAGTTACTTCTGATGGATGATACTATATAGCGATCACTACCATCAGTGTGTGAATGGGTGGGTGTGACCTGCGGTGTAAAAGCACTTTGAGTAGTCAGAAGACTAGAAAAGCGCCATATAAGCTCAAGTCCATTTACACATATATTTCTATCAAGCACTGCATGTCAAGGCATGTTCTTTACAGCTCGGATAATGATCAATACCTGCAGGAGAGGGGGGGGGGGCTCAAATGATTTGGGGTAGATGTCTATAAAAGAGGCTTTGATATGTCAATCCAGTGAAGTTGATCATTTCCTGTATTGCAAAACGTAATCGTGCCCAGCAATGTTTGTTAATGTAGCAGCTTGATGTCTAAAAACATGGCTAGAGGACAGCACAGAGGAGCACATCTAGAACTTTCTGATTTTATGACAGCAGTCTGGAGAGCCGACTAAACAGTGCTGTGTTGACGGATATGCGTTTTGATCAACCAGAACATTATACTCACCAGGCTAGCTTTGTTTAAAACACCGTAATGATGAATACATGTCACGGTAACACGACAATGCCGAGGTAACTTCTACATAATGTTGATGTAACAAGGCTTTCGTTAGCTGACCATACACAAGTCAGTTTACAAAACAAAAACCGCTGTCCATGCACCTGTAGTAGCAGTATCTGTAAATCTGATTTAAAAAAAAGATGTGTTTACTGGCCTGATGTTAAGTCACAGAATTGGTCAAATCGTTTCACTAGCCTCAGTGATAAAAGTCGCTAGCTTCGCGTTACTACACAGATATCACATTTCCTTTTCTCATGTTGAATACAAACTGTGCCGTCTGTCGTTACTCACACTTCCGAACGTGTTCCGTCTTGATAGCAAAGTCGACATTACAGTAACCATCGTTGTCTGAAGCTTGAACGTCGGCTGCTTGTCAACTCTTCTCTCTCCCCCCCTTATTTCACTTCTCATGCATAGCTTCGCTAGTTAGCAACAATGTAGCTCACCGCTAAGCTAGTGAGTTAGCCTGTAACGTTACAGCGTTTATGTCGACAATTGGCTTTACCTCTCTCCCTTGCGATGAAAGCGTGTTTCATGTCGCAATAAAAAAATACATTCTAACGCTTGCGTTTACCAAATTCAAGGAAATGACATTAAATTATATTTACCTGCGTGTAATTTTTTTTTTAGCCTTATCCCTATGCTCTGATGTTTAGCACTTTCTTTATATCCCCTCCCTAGAATACCAGACAACGTCATTCGTGATGAATTATGGGAAACTTATTATTCTTACGCTTAATGAAACAAACAAAAAAAATCATATTTCAAGATGTTATTCTTTTCCTTTTTATTTATTTGTTTATAATGTTTCTGGATAATCTGCAAATAAGGAGAATAGTGTAAATAAAAACAACACACAACCTTTTTTCTTCCCAACAGCTTTATGTAGAAAAGTGATATTCTGTTGCAATCTGAAACATTAATGTACAAATTATCCTTTTTTTTTTTTTTTTAAATAAAATATACATACATTAAAATCTTGTTAGGACTCTACAGATGTTCAACAATATACAATAAACTCTGTGCATCAACAGATTACAAACATTTCTTTGAAACAAACTAATATCAGATAAGAAATGTCCCTTACAATAATGCTGTTCTATATCTATACAAAGAGCCAAATAAGAATTTATGAAATTATAACAGTTTATTTCAAATACTGGACTGTACAGTTTTAGTGTTCAGCTTCAGCGTGGAGAAAATGAGGGAGAAGTCCTCCGTCTAAGAGGAGCCTTGTGTCAGGAAGTGCTGAAAAAACTCCTGAGTCTTCCTCTTCTCTGCAAGATCCTGTTTTGTAGGTGACCTCAGGAGCAAGGAGGCAAAAATGGTTGCTAAACAGAAAAAAAGGGAAACAATTTTTATCAACAAGTTACCAATTTGTTCTTCTTCTTAATTGTACTTTTTCTATTAGCATTAGCATTCGCAACACATTCAATAATGAAAACAATTAGTCATCTATGTGGGGTAAACATTTTCCAATGCTTACAAAAACTATCTTATTTACACAAAGTATTACAAAGGGAGCCAGTTCAAACTGTCCATGAGTCACAAACATAACCGCATAATTAACATGATTTTCATTCATTTCATTTTTTTTTTTGCTTTATTTATTAGTGACTCCTCACTTACTCATCATGCTGACTCAAGCACAAAGCAACAAAATACAATTAGGAAGTGCAACTACTTTGATTTCTTACCCAAGATGTTGATATCTAACCGATTGCTGGCCGAATTCTTCAACAGCTCACGCAGAAAGGCAGCTAAGTAGTTGAACACATTTTGATGGCACTGAGGTAGCATAGAAATAACCTGAAGACAAAATGCATCACCTTAATATGACAAAATCCAAAGATTTAATTGTGTAATTTGACACGTTTGCAAGAAGACTAATGGTTATCAGCTGTGGGCTATTAAACTCACTTTCTCACACAGACTGGCACTGGAACAGCTTTCTAGGCATTGCTGGTAAAAGGTGAAGGGAACCACCGGCTCTGGTAGAGCATCAAGAAAGAGAAGCAAGGCCTCGGCCACTGAGTGGTTGCTTCCAGCTGCAGGTCAACAAAAGTCAAGGAACTGACTCTGGAGCAGAAACTGCTTCTTTTTTAAATGTAGTCGGTGCAAAATAAGACTGAAATATACTCTTACACACTTTTAAAAGTTTAACCATGAGACTGACAGATACAGAGAAGAATTCACAGAAATAAAAGGGCAAAGTGCCAACAGTCAGCTTTAATTCAACAGTTTATATCTCCATCATCTGATAATTGTAGCAAATGGTCCTGTGTCTTTCTCCTGCTGCATTGTTCAAAACAAGAGGGGAAACAAAGGGCAGATTATGACTGATATGGATGATTATTCCCTCTGTGTCTCAAAAATCTCACCTCTGTTACACTCATTACTGTTTTGTATAAACCAACTGTAGAAGAGTTCAATGACAAACCAGCAGAAAAAAAACATGGACGGCAATGTAATAATTAATAACATTTTCCTTAGAGCTCAACATATTTTTTCACTCATGGTTATTCAAACGTAAAGAAGGATACGGAGAGAATCTGGCATGCCAGTGTCGAGACAATCCCTTATTTCTGCAAACTCAGTCCGGAGCCCAGGTTGCTGAAAAATGTCTTCCTGCAAATAAAAGGACAGTAAAAAAATGACTATATAGAAAATGGTGATTCAACATTCTAATTAACTAGTTTGACTTTGAAGATCGTGAAGAAGCATTAGTATTAATTTCAGTCAGTTAAAAAAACAAAAACAAACGCAGTATGATTAGCTACATCAAAAAACAGGCTCACTTGGCCTACAGAAAAATGCTCTTATGGTTTCATCCACAGTTCAGCTGAGATGAACTCAATTAAAATTAAAAAGCACAATCCTGTGTGAGAATCACCTGAATCAAGGCTTTTAAAAATATTAATTCCTCTAAGTCTCAACAAACCTCCTAAGAGTTATTTGGCGTGCAGTCTCAACTGCAGAGTCTCATCAGTAAGTTGGTTTCCTCAATCTGAAAACGTTTATTTAGTTTAATTCCTGCAGCGTTCTTCAACTTGTGTTTATTTGTGCAGTCGGAAAGATTACAACAGCTTTAAACAATGACTTTCACGACATGTACTGAGAACAAGGGCACCAATAAAAAACTAAATAGAAGAACAGTGTTTATAGATTTTATAATAACACCCAATGAGAAATTTCAGCATCATATTTCCTGACCTGTTTGATTGCATTGCGGAACAAGTGATCCACCATCATCCACAGTTCTTTAGGAATGTCAAGAGGCTTTTCAGTTTTTGCTGCATTCTTATCTCCAGACATTTCCACCTGACGCAGAAAACAAAAAGAGAAGAGCCAATCCTTAATAGAGAGGAGATATTTCAAGGACACCGTTGCCGCCATCCACGTTCAAGCACTCACCAGTTCACGGAGGACCTCCGGCGGCATGTCTTGGATGGGCTCCCTTAGCTGACACAAAGAGCGAATGGATGTGCCGTAGCAGCTGGGCATGTAGTTGCCTGCCACAGAGATAAAGTAGTCTTTGCCACGCTCCAGGTGGAGCACCAAGATGTCTTCTATCTGCTCCTTTCCAGAGTTAAGGTCAGGCGCTGTTGAGCGGTTAACAAACACCTCAAGCTCAATGTCCACAGAGCCACCTAGGTGTAGAGAAAGATGAACACACAAAGTAAACAGGTGGCTGGACAGTCATATCCCATAATGTACTAGCTACATCACCAGTGAGTTGTAAAACTGTGACAGGGTTACTGCTGACTTCGTGAGGTAGTGCTGTTTGAGGACAGCATCAAGACATCTCTAATCTGTGCTGAAATGTCATCTTCTCATTTCAAGTCAGAGTCAAAAAGATCAGGCCCCATAGCTTGCGTTGTGCTTCTTTCTACTTAATCTCCTACTCACCCTGAGCGATAAAGCCTTTTGGGGGGTTGGCTGTGAGCCAAGGCTTGCAGTACGTTGGCTCATTCGGCTTCTGGATAAACTCAAACTGGCACGGGACCTGCCCGTCATTGAAGAGGCTCAGTGTCTCTGCCTGGTGCTGCATGAACTTCAGGTCCTTAAAGTGAAACTGAAAGGATAGAAAAAAGTTTCATTAGGCTGGATGAGGAGGACGCTTCTCTGTTTCATGGACCGGTAAATGTATCCTGTAAAGCGCTAGATTAGACTCAGAGCCCCAGATCAATACACAGATTCATTAGTGGTGGTTTACTTACTGAATGACATGAGTAACATTATCAGAGGAATATTTACTGCACGTTATTCGACAGAGATTTTAAAGATCTTGTTACACTGCATGTGACAGAAAGTGATAGGAATCGTTACCTCTTGCTTGGACAGGGTTACAGATGGGATACACTCATTCTCCATTTTATCTATATTGCGAACAATCTCTTCAAAGGTCTTCTTATAGTCGTCAGCATTAACTCTCTTAATCTGCAGGGATAGACAAGAAATGTGTCAAGGCATCTGTGCTGTAAAACTATTAAATAATAACTCTAGATAAAAATGATGACTAAGTTCAATTTCAATGCACGTTTCATTTACTGATCATCTCTTCTTCCCTCACATACTTCAAAAAATGTTTACTTGAGTTTCAAAAGGCTTACCACTGATCTAAACACAAAACAACAACAAAGTGATACTAAGGATAAGGCTAAAGTGCTTACCCCTGTGACCAGCACAGAGCTGACTGGTTTGTGGTCACTGGTCTTCAGAGCCATGTGACTCTGATAATGTTGCTGCTTGATATTCTTCCCTCTCCACAGGATACGGTCACACCAGGCAGGTACGCGGCATTTCTCACTAAAAGCAGAAGAATAGTCGTAAAGTATGTGTATTACATATTGTACTATATAATGTCTTTTATCAGCAATGGGGCAAAATGACAGATGTTTTACAACATGTCTGTGCATGGTTAAACAAAATAAAATGAAGGGAACTTTCTCGTACAATTTCAGATTTCATATTGTAATACACTCTCCATTAAAAGGAAGTTATTTTAGGGTAGCAGAGCATGTAGAAAGATGACCCTCTCGTATAAGACCAGCATGTAAATAGTGAGAGGACTGTTTGTAGACTAGAAAGCTTTCATTGACATTAAATATGGTAAGGAGGAGGCAGAGTGAAGGATGAGGAGGATTTACTTTGTGTGTGTCACAAAAAAAAACAACAAAAAAAACAACAGGTGTAGTTAAATATAACCTTAGTAAATGATCTCCTCTTAAACATGAATATACTAGTATCATTGAAGCATAATCCCCTAACATGAGGTCCCACCATGATTTCCACAGTCACACTGTCATAAGACGAAGTTACCTTGTGTCCCACATGTCAGAGCCGGTGTCATATTTGTAGGTTGGCTGAAAAGTAATCTCTCCTTCAACAAAGCCAACAAACACAGCCTTCTCATTGATCTGCCTCTTGAGCTGAGGACAACATGTAGCAGGTAAGCGTCACTCATCAACATGAATTATGAGTAAAGACTAATTTAACAGCAGAAGAGAAGGGACCGTTGATATCACCTGATCGTAATTGTGCAGTGTTTCAAAGTTCTTCTTGCTGATTAGCTCCTTCACATATTCGACTTCAACGTCACTGAGCCTGTAGTTCAGGTCCCCAATCCACAATACCACACTAATGAAGGAAGCAAAGACAAATTAAGTAAGAAAAAATAAAGATATAAATTGAATGTGATCAAATAGTTCAAGGCTGAAATCGAACAATGTTTTGTAATATCATTTTCGGCCACAACAAAGCAAACTAATCCTAAACATAAATCCAAATAAACAATGGAGGCCAAAGCAGATTTATAATTCAAGGTTTTTTTTTTGACAAAGTCTTAATCTGGTCGAAAAGCTCCAGCAACACTTGGTTTAAAGAACAACCTTAATTAGACCAACGCGTTTCGGCTTGTTGGATGTCCCTGATGAAGGCCACAAGCTGAAACGTGTCAGTCTTTCAAAGCTTTAAAGAACAAGAGCAGCTGGAGCTTTTTGACCTCTTCAAGCCTTTTCATTCTGCCTGCACCTTGGGAGTTGGTGAGGTTGCGCCAAAAAAACCCTACTCTGCTTCTTCAGAAAGTCTTAGGCCCCGTGTCCACCTGAGGAGTTTTCCCTGGCAGAAAAGCGTTGGCTGTCCGCTCAGGAGCGATAGATTGAAGCATTTGTGTGCTGAGAAAGAAAAGCGCTGCACATCCGTTCTGTCTCGATGACAACAGTCTGTTGACCAACGCCGCTCTAAGGCCGACACGACTCAGTGACTTTTAAATGTATGTAAGACGGCAAAACTACAGGGAATATCATACATTTTGAAAACCATTGAAAAAAAGACGCTGACGCTCATAAAAAACACTAGGTGGACACGGGGCCTTAATCTTCCATTGAGTTGCTGGGACATGACTTTTAATGTAAATGATGACACAACAGGTTTCATACTCATGCTTCATGATGGTGAGTGGAGGCTGGGTAGGGTCAAGCTGGCGAAACAGGAGACGACTGCAAATGTCCCTGTAGTCCTGATTGCGTCTCTCATATTCTTCGATGTGGGCGGCTAAATGAGAGTTGACTACGCAGATATCAGAGTTGTGGAAGCGAAAACGGATTGCAACAGCACCCTTGTTTCCCTGTGAATAAATGAGTGATTGAAAAGATAAAAGGGAGAAAGTGATGAAGTGAGAAACATTGAAACGGCACAACTATGAAACCTATATGCTCCTTTGCCCGACAGTAATCAGATATTAACCAAGACCTTTAATACTCTGCATGTTTCAGAGGATCGTTGGTGCATTCCATAAAACCAGTCTCTCTTTCAAGCAGGAAAGGATAGAACAACCTTACAAAAGGCCCCACTGGTCACAGCCAGCCAGCTGCTCTGTGCTGCAGGGACTGCTAAGTAAGCAAGGCCAGAAAACTAGACAAGAATAACTTATTATGCTACACTGCATGAGGAATGGAGTTGGGAGTTACGGGAAACAGAGCCTCATGAATGAATGCGTTCTAAATTCAAGAGAAAACTAAAGGATGAACAAGACTTTGAACAACACTTATATTATATTACAGTCATATAGGGCTTTCTCACCTTTCACTTTTGATATTTGCCAGAGGAGCTGTATGTGTGAACACAAACAGCCACACTTTTGAATAGTGTGTATGCATGCTACCGCTACGATCTCAGTGCAAGTAATTCACCAGGTGCGTTACGTTTTCTGTTCTTCAGTATGTTGTTCTCCACTCTTTTGTCGATATTGTTAATACATCAAACTACGCATAGCATTGATATAAAGGCAAATATTCTCATAGCGTCGTATAGCGGACTGTTGCTGCGTCGGCGTCGATCTTTCTACATCACGTCTTACCTCAGGAGAGGTGCTCCCAATGAATGCAAGGCATCTTTAAGTTTGCAGAAACAAAAGACATTTCATATAACACCACAGAAGGGAAGTAGTTAAAAACATAATTTTTTTGTGTGTGTGCTATGACAAAGAGGAAAAGACGTGGACGAATGACATCTTCTCCGTAGTGTTACTGCGCTGTGCAGCTCGTTTTTTAGCATGGAGGTTGATCATTGCTTCTCTGATGGAGGTGGAGGTGTTAGTGGATCCACAATATTGTTGTCCATCGCCAATGTCTGACAGTCTTTGACTACTGAGTCCTATTATTATATCAATAAAGTGTTTTTACCCCCAGGCATGCTGCTGCTCCTGCACTGCTGTGAACGAACACACAGCTAAAATGTACACAATGTGTCACACTGGATATTTTAACTATGACAATAGAATTCAACAGCACAACACTTCAGTGCTGTTTAGAAGAAAACATCATTAGAAAACAACAGCATATCCATGAGCTGGGCATGAACAAACAAGACCTGCATTATCAGCCCTTACCATCCTTCCCATGATGCCAGTTCCCACAGTCTCAACCTCCACGTCAGAGATGAACTCTGCATGCTCCTTCTTCACATAGAAGATCAGCATGATGCCCACCAGTCGCACCAGCTTTACCTGGAACAGAGGAGGATTGAATTAACAAATGTCTTGACATATGAGGAAGAAGAAAGAGACACAGTAGTTATTGAACCTTCAAATATGCTGGGTATTTTTATTTGATTGGTAGCAAAGAGGGGTACCAATACCCCTGTAGCCACATAAAGAAGGCATAATGTGCTGTGCTTCTTCCATCAGCATTTTTACTGAGTTTTAACTGCAGTATGAACAACGGAATTATTTCAATTTCAAGATGTTGCAGAGCCTGTCTTATCTTCAAGACAAACAGAAGCAAAATAATATACTAAATATGAAGCTGTTGGGCGTGGGGGAGGGGGGGAAAGAGTCTGAGAAGCCTCTCTGACAGTTCTACACGAGCTAACACTCAGTTATTAGGAAAATAAGTGTCAGTTGCAGATCAACAGAGTGTGCTTTAGTCAGCAACAATTGCGGATGAAGAGGTGACACGTCATAATACTGGCTCCTTAAATTACAGAAATCGTCTAATCCTTTCGAAGACTTGAAGAAAACAGCCTCGCCATGAAATGAAGAAGCTACTAAGCCCGAGTCAGCACTCTCAGAAAAAAAAAGAAGAAGACGAAAGCAAGTAAGGAGAAGAAAAAGAGAAAGAAAGATAAATGTGATTACGAACATGGCTCCTGAAATATGCAGGGCTATCATGACCGTTCCATAGGATGATGCTGTGAAATAATCCTTGTAATTTGATGATATAGATTGAAGTAGACAGTTATTATGGATCATAGACAGAACCTGTTGGAGGTACCTGCTACTTCACTGTAACATGAACATATTCCTAAACATATAATTTGCCTGCAGTTTCAAATATAGTATACATATATATTTTAACTGATCAGAACTGAATATGGTACCAGCCTTTGTGCTAACAACAACTCACACGTCCTTTACACAGAGTACGGGGTATACAAACAAGAAGAGTATACATTTTATTGCAATGCCAGTTGCTTCCTTTAAGTCATTGGATCTTTTTTTAATTTAATCTGTAAAGGTTAAACTGCTGAACACAACCATGTACATCTCAAAAAAACGTATATTTGCCACTGGGAAAATGTTATGCATTCATTCCTAAAATATCTTGTTTGCTTTTTGTATGAAGAATCGGGGTGATACTGAGTAACGAGTTGGACAAGAAAAAAGACAGTGCCCTGAAGCATTCACTGGCAGTCTGTGCAATAACATTGACAGTCAAAAATACTCATTATTTGTCAAGAAGTGCTGTAAATATAAAAAAAAAAACAAAAAAAAAGACTTCCTTACTAAGGCATACTTGACATCTGGATGCAAAGCCTCAGTCACAGCCTTCGTCCACTCCAGCTCTTTTGGGGTGTCATTGAAGAAAAAAGCCTCTTTGCTGAGGTCGAGCTCCTGAAAACTGCCCAGAAGGACAAACAATGAAACTTATTTGAGAGGTTGACTCACATGTTCAAGCTTTACCCCAGTTCTTTCATGGTATTGTCAAACTGTTCCAAAAGTAGCAATCTGAAATGTAGGCAGGATTAGTGAACACTTGCAGCTGAATCTGTGGGTGGGCTTGTTCTCCTACTTAAAACAGGATCAATGATGCGTACACCTCTCAAAGGTTCTAGTAGTATATCTCTTTCATTGTAATGGGATTAGGCAAGGCTATTCCCCAACAAGGTGATTGTGACTTACCCCACGCAGTAGATGTCCGGGGGGTTGAGGGTGCAGCTCAGCCAAGGACGGAGACTTTCCTTCGGAATCTGTCCATTCACATTATACGTGCCGAGGAAAATGCTAGATGGAACAGGGAGAGATCAGGACTGGGCGTACAGGAAAGGAATACAGGGTCACAGATTGTTTGAACAAGTGGTTACTATTTTGAGTTTATCCTGCTGACTGTGAGGGTCTGCAGCAAACATGCCTTTTCAAGAACTTTAAATTCACACCAGGGGGAATTAAAATAATGAATCAATGACCTCCATTTCTATAAAAAAAAAAAAAAAAGATATTAATGCTTCACTGCAGTACCTATTAGCTCCTATGCAGACATTTTGTTAGATGTAGGTTGAAAAGCACAACCTTTTTGCAGCGATGTGACTATTCATCTAAAGAGCTGGTATACTCTGTCAGAACAGCTTCAGAACTCCCCTGCCTGCAAGAGGAGTACACAATGCAAAGAGGCTCTAAAGAGGTATTAGTTGACCATCCAGCAGCCCCTCTGGAGCTTTAATGCTCGTTGAAGAGCGTCATAATTGTGAGAAAATGGTAAGAGGGTCATTGAGATTTATTCTGGCATTTCAGAAATGAGCAGGAAGCCCTCCTCTCTGACCTCCATAGAGCTGCCTCACAGGAGCTCTTCTGTGTGTGTGCTGACTTTCACTCTGCACTAGAAAGATGCTGAAGCTCTCTTACAACAAATATCTTAGAGAGTTGCTTATCTAGGCCTTTTTCCCCCATATGTGCAGGTCAGCAGGGATTTTCATTTTCACATTCTTGGAATTGACTGTAATATGAGATGAAAGCAGGGAATGCATGTGCCCAAGCAAAATGTGCCGTTTTGGTTTATCCGCTACTCCAGCTTATAATACAGTCATCACCTCCTACATTTAAAAAGGTATTTACACATATGAAAAGGTAAGTACCTGCACAAATTCTGGATGAGCTTTTGTGTATACTAATGGTATATATATAGTATACAGTGTTTCCCCTACCATTATTTTGGGGGGGGCAAGTGTTTGTGTAGACATGTTTTTCTATTGTACACTGTATGACTGATTCCATTCACCTTCATATCAATATTCATTTTAATTATTTTCTTTACTCTAAGCAAGGGTGTACATATTAAGGCACAGATCTACCAGCAGGAGGCAGTGTGGTTCATGATGCTGACTCATAAAAATGCATCCTTTTATATTAAATTTGGACAACAATAAAAACTGAGCTGAAGATCTGAGGCACAGCATGATAGTGCCCCTGTTTTTTTTTAAGGCGTCTGAGGTAGTGGTGCTTGATATAGAGAAGAGCTAAGTACACAGAAATACAAACCCACAGATGTTGACTCATTCTTTTTACATAACACGTCTATGAAACAAACAGCACTCACAGTAACACTGTGGGCTCACACACTTCTCCTGCACAAAATGTCTTCAAAAAAAAAGTTTTAGACTCGGTTCCATATTTGGAACTGGACAGCAGAGACATTACTATGTCGTAGGAAATATCCTGAATCGCCTTCTAAACTTAAAGCCTAAGATTTATTTGCAAAGTACTGTGAACAGAATAATCCCTATAATGCAGTTATAAAGCACTGGTCAGAGGCCTTTTTTTGGTTTGGGTTAAATGCTTTCACATTCCTTTTCCTAAACACTTTTAACTTTGTTTCATATTGAGAAAAATTATCAGCTTACAAGACTGGGAATCAAATTACTTATTATATAATTATAATTATTACACAAGATGAAACATGAAACAGTACATGAAATCACAAATAGATACATCTGAAGTATCATACAACCATGACATCATGAAGAAAACATGTTTGTTTCTTTATGAGTGTTTGAAAAATCTGTGACTTTTGAAACAATGTGCCAAACGTGCACAAAAAAATAAATAAATAGAAAATGGGCAAAACAAACATTTTAGAATAAAATACCTGAAATCCTCCAAGTACGTGTAGAGGTCCTCATTCTTCAGCAGCTCACACTTGATGAGGTTGTCTCGCAGGCCAAACTGCGGCATGGCCAGTATCTGAGATTTGTTAGACGGGGTGTGGCTGGAGGAGCGCACCAGGTCATCCCGGTCTTCTCGACTGGAGATGGCTTGGCTGAACACGGGAGAGAAGAAGTAACAGTTAGACGCGGGGGGAGTGGAGACAGACAAAGATAGAAACGGGGTCACGCTTGTGCAATTTCAGAGGGAAAAAATGATCAGTAGGTTGAGCATTTGATAGATTTTTCTATTTGTGTCGACATGTAGAAATCCTTGTTGACATTTAGGATACTGAGCTCCATCTGCATCCAACCATGCAGCTGCAAGAAGCTAATAATAAAAACATGGCATTAAAGAGACATCACACTCGGCTTCAGACTAACAGCCTAATGTACAGTAGTAGATCACTACAGTGACAAACTCTGGCTTTGCAAAGAAGCTCAATATCTATGCCGTCAATATGGAATGCGGCTAAGAGGAGAGTACGAAATGTAATACCCCTGGAGCCTGTAATCGTCCAGGAATATGCTGTAACTAACCTCCATGTCAGAGTATAGGCTCTATTCCAAGAGAGGCAGCAGTGGCTTCCAGGTTAAACAACTGAACAAATATGCATTTTAAATCAACCCTCATCACCGAGCTGCTTCCAGATATGTACACAGTATAATTATAAAACTGGATGAGAAGGGTACACAATTGATCTTAATTGTGTTTTATCTTGTGGTGCACTTTTACTTTACTCACTAAATACATAGCAAATGTTTTTGGCTTTACCCAGTGCAATCTCAAAAATAACCCAATGATACTCAGTAATACTGAAATATATTTTATTTTAACCTGTGAGCTAACCTGTGATATTTTTAAGCCCTAAGGAGCAATATTTTTGAAAGTGTAACCCTGCTTTAATGTTCAGATTTCTACCAGTAGTTTCACACTATTTCACTGATCTTAATGTAAAGTGATTGCATCAAAAATACATACATGCACCCAGCAAGTAGGGTACATCTACTGCTCATATAATACTGTTAAGAACGCTAGATAAAGATCTATGTAACAATGCATACATGTCAAATACAATATGCTAAAGCTATCAGGGTGCCTCGATACATCTGCAGCATGGTGCAATAAGAGCAACAAGCCAGTTTTGACCAACAATCCTTTGCGCAGCACGGAGATGTTAACACTGATTAAGCCACAGGAAGAACATATGCAGATGTGCTAGAGATTGCAACAGAAAGAAGATAAAAGTTCAACGCTCAATGTTAGGATGAGTAGTAATATATTTGTTGTCCTTTGTAGAGCACTTTGTAAGTTGATTTTGAAAAGTGCTCTATAAATAAAGACTATTATTATTATATAGAATGCATCAATAGTGAAAATAAGGGCCAAACCAAAACAACAACTAACAATTTAGCAAATTGCAGATTTTGATGCCCGCGGTTTTTCGTTATTTGTTGGTAATTATTCATGCCTGTTCTCAAAGGAGCTATGAGATTTGATATATTAAAAAGATTGCTCTTAGCCTCTCTTCTTGAAATGTCACTGGAACACCTCAACAAATAGAACAACTTTCCCAGAGACGGTGTAAGACTCCACACACTGCTGTCATTTTCTTTCACGTTTCAACATGAACACAAGACATGACACTTCTTCTCACCAATCGTTGCGTACCACATTATTTGCTAATGGGCCAAAAATGAATTAAAAGAAGTTCATGCATTCAGCCTGAATAAAGAGTTCTGGTTTTGAAAGCTCCCAGGAGTGAAATTTAACAAGCGGCCTTACCTCTCTGTGCTGGAATATGCTTTGGACTTCTGTGTGACGCTGTTAGAAGCTTTCTCCTTGTCTATATTTCCCTTTTTGTCCGAGGATTTTTCTGTTTGAGAACAGCAGGAGAGAAAAGGAATAACAATAAAGTGTTATTAATATTCATCACAGAGAGTTAACTGGTAAATATTATAACACAGATCTGATGCCATGTGCGTCAGAGCTGCGTGCACTCTGAATGATAAATATCATGTTTGAAGGAAGCTAGTTTTACTGATGGGAGATAGTGGCATCAACATTTTTGAAAATCTGCCTTAGTAATGACAGGCTACTGAGAAAACCCAGCCCTGAACAACCCCTTTCCAACTCTCAAATTATTATAATAGATAATAAATGAATGATGACATAGAACAATAACAAAAAAGCACAGTAACACACAAGTCAATAAAAAGTGCAAAGTCAGGTCTCAGTTGTTGTGTCTAATTGCCTGAAGCGGTGTTTTGCAGCTGGTTACAGTTATTGCATCCTAAGTAGCTGGATTTAATGGGCGAGTGTGAGGTATGAGACAGCATGGCCCCTGTCTCCTGGAGCTTGGCAGGCAACACAGCTGGCTCCTCTGAAAGGCAAAGCCAGGCTCTATGAGCAGGAACTAAAACTCCTTCAAGTTAAAGCAGGAATCAGGATACATTATTACGAGTGCACCTGAGCAGTAGTGCTTAATGTCCCATTAGATTATTTTTTTTTTACAAGCTAGCAAGACTGCTTGTAATTGTTTTTACTTTCATGACCTCTCTTTGTTAGTTTGATTTCCACTTCATCACTTAAAATGCGATCACACGTGTGACAGATTTAGTCTGAAATGTATGGAGCTTTCAACTTATCAACCCATGGCTCGAATATGCTGCTGACATCTACTGATCTAAACATAGATATCATTAGTAAATATGTCAACATTATTGCAGCCTCTTCGCTTTAAAAAAGGAATGTTCTTATCACTCAAACTTTAACTGCACAACTTGTGTAACAAACTCTCAGAAAATGTCAAAATGTCGGCTTTGATAAAACAAAAAAAAGAATAATAACGCATAAAAGGTTAGGCTACACAGCATCTACTTTAACTATCATGAAATGATGTTGCATTTCTAATGCAGTGACTGTTTTTTTTGTTTGAACAGGAAACTGACAAAGGGAGATGGCTCTTTGTTTGACCGATAAAACCGACACCAAACTGTGAAAGCTTCACTGCCCACAGAAAAAAAAACTCCACGTGTAACTGTCAAATTGTCTCCAGAGTTATCCAACCTAACCTACAAAACAAGGAATACATTTGGGTTTTAAGTTTAAGCCCATTTTAGAGTGAACTACACCGCATCGGTAAAGGTGGAACAACAGTAATCAAACACACGTTGTACTTTACAATGCAAAGAGTCTTTAAGTGCATTCACAATGAAAATCAATTAAATAAACACACAGACTGGTGGTGACTTAAGCCCTGCTTAATAAGATAATGTTAATATCTCAAACTGCACCTAACCAGCATCTGTTATTGATCCTGGGTCCTGACCACATGAGGGTCCTGTGTGTATTATTCAACATTACTTATGGAGTATGTTACATTCCAACACATGCTTTACTTTTACTTTTACAGCTTATGAGCTTAACTCACTTACAACACCACAGCTGGGGGAAGTTGCACTTACTATCTTCAGTTTCACACACCAATATATCTTTCTATCTGTGGTTGATCGCAAGTCAGCACAAACGCCTGTTATATCAGGATTCATGCACTACTGAATTAAAACTAAAACAGGGGTTACTTTGCACAGAGGTCAACATTGCACAACTTCCCCCGATGATGATGATGATGATGATATAAAACTACAGGTGATAAAACTGCATGAGGGGGGGACGATTGTTTTAAGTTCTGTCTTACATGTAGATTTAAAACTGCATCATCATAATAAAAAACCCGTGTCTGGGTTTGAAGTTCATAAATAACAGAGAGGTTTCTCTTAAAGCAGAGCACACTTTAGCTCCTCTCTGTCACTTTGCGGGCGGAAGAAAGTTTTTCATTGACAGCTGATTTAAAGCTAACATGCTAAGTAGGGAGGGGGAACAGGCAGATAACTAAACAGCACATTGCCTCAAGTGCAAAACAACAACAACAAAAAAAAAAACAGGAATTTAATAAACGGGGAAACAAATGGGTGTCAAAAACAATCGTTGTAACGACACCGACACAACAGGTGTGTCGTTTTCTGTCACATAGCGGACACTTCCCATCATGAGCAGCCTCTCTAATGTTAGCATACGTAGGCTAACATCAGCTGGAGCTTGACTTTAAAGGCAACAGAAGACACACAAATAAGAAAAATATATATATATATCTCAGGCGGAACCATTATTCCGCCCCACGGTCACCGACTCTCTTGCTAATTTTGGCTAAAGTCAGCTTCTTTAAAATGTGAACAACCACTACTTACTAGCCTTAGCTTGGAAGCTAACAAAAAATAATAATAATTGGACTGGATGCTAAATAGTGACGCAATGGCGCTCTCTGTCACCACCTCGAAAATCAACTAATGTTTGAGTATTTCACATACCAGAGTCTCTCATCACCCCAGACATCTCCCTGCACCGCTCCCACGCATTCTGTGCACAAGAGCAATGTCCAGTCCGGTTTGAGACCAGCCCATGCTAACCGGAGGAGGAGTTTACTTTGCTCTGCTGCAGACAGGAAGGCTGAACCAACACAACGACACTAACTGTGCAGAAAAACACACCCGGAAAATGCTTCATCACATCAGTATTAACAATCAGGAATCAGGAAATGAAGCTCACTGACAGACAAAAAAAGAAAAAGGAAACAGCCTTGATCTTATGTAACTTTGAAAAAAAAGGTGGCAGGCAGTGTCCCTTATTGCTTCGTGCAAGCCTTCGTCATGTCTAATTTGATGATAAACTGCATGAAATCTGTTTGAAATGATCCATCAACATGATGGACTAATTACACAGAGATCATGCTGACATAAAATGCATACAAATTGTGCATTTACACCATAACTCCATACATAATCATGTTGCCTGTTCTTGGACTCGCCGACAGCTTGATTCATTTACTGGGCTTTTTTTTTTTTAAAGTCCTTAATATTTTGGCTCTTGTTTGATTGTTCACTTCTTATTCTGCACCAAGAAGCAGCAGGTTGACCAAGTATTGTTAAAAGTCACGCAGTCCAGGATCAAAATAAAGGGGATCTTACTTTTGTCCAGCAGTAGCCTATCAAAGCAGTTAAATTGGGAGGCTATGGCTCAGTTGGTTGAGTTGTCACCTCTCAATCAGTCGGTCAAGGGTTCAATCCCCAGCTGAGCAACATGTCCAATGTGTCCTTGGGCAAGACGCTTAACCCTGCATTGCTCCCTCTGCTTTGGTGGTGGTGTATGAATGGATAATCTCTGATGTACATTGCTTTGGATAAAAGTGTCTGCTAAGTGAATTGTAGAATTGTTAAACTGCATTACACTTTCCATAAAAATAATGATAAAATCCCTGTATAGGCTACATTTCCATTGATTTGCTGTGTATTCTGTTTTAATCCTCCAAGTTTGACCATTTCCTGACATTGCTTGTTGGTTTTGCATTTTATGTGCCCCTGGGCTGCACCTTAAACAGTGTTGAACAAAGCAAAGTTCACTTATCTACTTTCCTTGCAGGCATTGTTACACATGCGTTCGCTGGCAAAGCTCTTATGTTATTACTAATGCTCACAGAGACGGCTAAGACTGCTCAGTTTAGTTCTGCCACCTACTGTCGGGCTTGCTGGCTGACTTGGCAGCCATGTTGGCTTGCACGGCTAAATGCCACACTTATATTGTATATATTATTATTGTTATTATTATTATTACTTGACTGCTTATGTTTAATTTTAATATTTTATTGTTGGCATTCATTGTTGAGACATAATTTCATTGTACAGGGAAACATGTTTCCTACTGTGCACATGACAATAAACATTTTTTTTTCATCTTGAATCTAATTAAAAGGAGCCATAACAAATGTTATCCCTGTGTCGCAGGGGCGTGTCCAGACTTTTGCCCAACTGGGGCACTGACTTGAGCAGGGGTGAACTCAAGTTTGTGCACAAACATGAATGAAGAGCAATTATTCACCACTTTTGTATGCACTAATCACATTGACTTTTAAGTACAAGATAATGGCAACACATATAGGAGTACATCTTTGAAGCTTAGTTCTTCAATGACTCAAAATTCACAATTTAAAGGATTTTAAAAATGGAGAAAAAAACACAGCCTGAATAGTGGATTTCAACATAAGTCCCACCTCTGGCAAGGCAAATAGCCTAGTCTAGGATTTTGGGGTGGCACATGGGGTAACCATGAGATTTCAAGGGGGGCCACCCCTGGACACACCTCTAGACATGCTCCTGTTCTGTCAGCTCTGCTCAGATGTCACTGGTGTCGTGAAGACTTGTAGGGGAAATTTGTAACAATTCGTATGCAAGTTTGGCAAACTGCATTCAAAGGAAGTGGCACTTGCAAAACCACCCAGTTTCATTATGCAATCCTTTGTAGTCGACTTTTATCAGGGTGGTGGTATCTATGCCAGAACAGAGCAAACACTAAAGCAACGAGGAGCATTTCCTGTTACACACTGCATGAACCTATTCCAATGCAGTCAAGTTTGTGGATATGGACACAGTGATTGTGAAAGTCTACAAATAGAAATAAGATGTCAAACCTGTTTTCCGGTGCTGGTTTAATTTGGTAATGGTGTTGCCGAGGGGAGTAAGGGTTTGTTTGACAACTCCCTGGCCTCTGGAGGCTCTTCGGTACTTGCTGATCCATTCAAATTTGGGTTGCTGTGTTGGAGACTTGCACACATCTGAAGAAAGGCAGACAGAGGGAGAGCGAGGAAATTACAATATATCAGGATAGTTTATAGTAAAAACATTTCCGGCAACAGTTTCATTCTGCCTGTTTATAAAGGAGTCTTGTTTGTATAAACATCTGTACTGTTCACTCGTAATACCACCTTTACACTTTGTATTACACTCTTAGTTTAAACAAAAAGTTCCAGATGCAGTGCAGTAAAGAGAGCTCACATGTGCTTGCTTACCTTTACCTTTTTTCACACTCCTCTTTTTGACAACAGCAGGTGCCACTTCCTTTAATCTTTCCATCACTAGTTAAAGACATTTGTGGCTAATCTTAGAGTGCCGTTGAAAAAAAAATAAAGCACATCTGTCTTCGTCCATGCTCACGTGGGGTTTCCCATGTAAAAAAAAAAAGAATAGCGAGCCAGAGGCGAAAATGACACATTCCTAACAAAGCCGATGCTCTTCTAACCTTTCAGTGAACAGCTCCATTCAGAAGAACAGGATACAGTGGGAACTTCAGGAGAAGAACTGAAGAGGAAGTTACTCGTGCTTTTTAAGCCTGTTTTTAATTTCTGTGACAAAGACAAACTCAACAAACACATCCAAACTCCACCCATTCTCTCCGCCCCTCCCTTTTTTTTCAGCAGCCATGTGTCACGCACAGCCAGTCATTGACAGGTGAAGTGATGCTACTCGTTTGTAAGTTTTAAAACTGATTCAACTTTTGAATCCCAACAGCTACAGATACAAGAGTATCACAAACGTATTTGTGTTTTTATTTCAGCTTATAAACTCATCTTCCCTTTAACGGAGGGCAAACTTACAAGAATGAAAGTATGATAGTATTTGCAACATAATGTGACCTCGAGGACACTTAAGACTGGCTGAGCAGGTTTCTTCCAAATGGGTTGTTGGACGAGAATATTTTGTGGTTGTTCAGACAAAATTTCCCTCCTGCTACGTTCAGAGAAAAGGAAATCCCCAGATATAAAACTTCCACACCTAAAAAAAAAGTGTATTAAGACACTAAATACACTACTACACTAACATGTACAGATGTGACTTTTGTAATGTTACTTTTAATCCTTTACTATGATGAAATACTGTCCATGTTTGTGTTCCTTTACTGCTTATTTGCAGTTTGAAGAGTGCTATATTTGTCAGTAAAATGCAACACAACCAAATATATTTCTCCCCCCACAAACTTTCTCTCGGATTTTTCTGCAAGGCTGCAAGAATCCCAAATAAAGGCGATGACAGCTGGGCGTCATGTCTCTGAGGGCTGACCTACCACTCCACGCTCTGTTGACCTCACTGAGGAAGAGCCGCGAGTGAGACCCAAAAGGGAGTCTGAGCTCCAGCTCCTCGTCCTGGAAGCTAACCCTCACCCTGGTATCACCACCTAGAATCGGATTAAAGAACACAAGACAAGAAAAAGAAAAAAAGGGCGCTTATTTCAGTCCCTTCTGTTGAATATAGTTACGCATCACAGTATGACTGAGCTTTTCTGGAAATGAGGGCAACTCACCCACAACTGCAAGCTCCTCTGGGGAAGAGACTACAAAGGGAGAAGCATGAGAAATGTGTGAAAGCACTTCAGAGAAATGACTGACATGCTGTTATTACTGGAAACTATATTTAACTCAAGGAACATGATATTATGTGGTGATTTAACTGTCAGTCTGTTTTTAATCATAAGAAAAGAAAAGAAGGCAGCTCACCCTCCACAACAGAAAACTCAAGGGAGATGGGTAGGATGTCCTCCAGTGACACGTCGTCAGCAGTAATAGCCATCCTCCGATGGGTGTAAATAAAGATTCTACAAAATATTTTAAAAAATGGATGTTAAATTCAAACATTTCGGAAATAATGTTCTACCTGATTTTCTTGGCACTCTGACTCAACTGTTTTTATCTTCAATCTTAAGGCACTTGCAGGACTGTAAACACTAAAGACCTGCTGCAGTTTTAAAGCCTTGCAGCTCTGCAGTACAGTTTCTACACAGCATGCCATTTTGGTGACTGTGTCACACAGGTTGCTGCAACTCTGTAGTCATTTTCATGGCAGTTTGTGATGATATCCTGTCTGTAGAAGATGTGGCTGACACTGACCTCATTATAAAAGTTAGAACACAAACATAGTGCTACAAAAAAAGGGGGGCTGATTTATACAATTTATAAAAAAAAAAAAAACGTACGCATTTTCTTTTGTAGACTCCACCAATCCCAGCAGCCGGCTCTCTTCAGCATCATCAAAGAGGACATCACATTGGACAGCATGTTCACAGCTATGTTAAGGATATATCAATCAGGACTTTTAGCCTACTGTTATGCATAAGTGAACAAACACATGTGTGTTGTGACTTTTACTCATGAGAATAAAATAGTTTTGCATCCTTCTCCACTGTGTGTAACGAGAGAGCAGCTGCAGCAGCTGGTGGAACAAAGTTGCCATCTTGCGGATGAAAGGTCTTCCTACAAATGTTGGACCATGTTTTTTTGGGAAGTCACACCCGACTATCCTGAGCACCAAACTACTGCTGTGAAAACACGAACTGGAAAGAAATGTATCACCTGGATTAAAATGACAATCCAAGTGAGGTTGAAGGCTACAACATATTTACAGATTAGTAAACCATGTGGCAGGAGGATTTAATCATACAGGCCTGTCTCAGCACTTTGACAGTCTTCAACACAGTCGCATTTCAGTGTAGTTTGAATCAGGCAATTCTCCTTTTGATGTGACGTTGATTCAAACCAAATGCATGACGGTCTCAAAGGATACTATGACGCAGTTTTCTTCCCTTTCCAAAGTTTCTTGAATTGCGACGGATTGATCCATGGCGATGACAGCTCGTAAACGGCTAAGTGACAACTTCGGTTCCCACACGAAAGTACCCGGAGGAGTTTTTGAGTACAGGACAATGATACCTATCTCAAGTAAAAGTTGAACGTACAGCAGGAGGAGAGAGTCCCTTGTAATCCGACATTTTATTCCCTTTTCGGTCCAGATGTTTTCTTCTTCTTCCTCCGCCCGACCCAGTCTGACTGCCACGCACTGATTCAGAATCGTTGCGTGCTGCCTGAGTGACGTCACACCTGGGCTGTCATCATCAGCTCGGTTTTGTTTGGATTAGGCTTTAGGCCAGTGCTCCAAGGAGGATTAGCGCCTACAAAAGGGCAGTATCCGTACTAATTACACAATTTTATAGACGCTTTCGGGGAAGTTTGATGAGGTCAAATGGTTTCAGGGTGTTTTATAGCAACAGGACGTTATTTTTCTATTGGCTGTCAAGAGTGGAGCCGAATAGCCTAAATGTGGCACTTTGCATTCATTGGTCAGTTATGTTGTTCTGTAGCCCAGTAACCTTTGCTCATTTGCGACAGACCAAAATAGAGGAACTGACATAGATATTGACACATTTTAGCCTAGATTTATTTTGGCATCAACCTAAAAAGCTCAAGGACACTTTGACCCAGATGAACTGAAGTAGGTTATAATAGTCAGAGTGCCTGATTCTAGAGTCTGTTGGGGCCCTATAGGCAAACTATTCACAGGGGGCCCCTCCAACCAGCATTCATTACCATTACAGTATGTGACAAATAATCTGACTCTGATTAAAAAGTGTGACATGTGAAAAAAGATATATTTTCTAAATATTGATATAAAAAAAACATTAAAAACCTCAATTTTCATAAACAAACTTTGGTTTTCCCAGAGATAATGCATGCAATGCTTAGCAGCACAACTAGAGTGTGTGCCGTCAGATGGGGCCCCCTTAGGGAGGTTTCCTACTGTCATTGCGCACACATTTTGCTCCTCGATTCTGTGGCTGAAAGTTTGTCAGCCCTTGGGGTCCCCCTATGACCTGGGGCCCCAAGCAGTTGCCTGCCTTGCCTAGGGACAAGCAGCACCTCTGGCCCTACCGTTTCTGTTGAGGCCAGATTTGACGAGGAGATTTGGGAGTTTTTTTTTAATTTATACAGGCTAATGATAATATGCTTTTTTTTAGAGCAGTTAAAAAAAGGTCTGTCAAAAGTAAAAGCCGCACACTAAAGTAGAACCACATATACTAAGAGGCTGCCAATAGCCAAATATAGCTTACCTTAAAGGTTTGAGTTAAAGTTCTTGTGTCGCATGTAGTTAATCTATTATCCTATAATGACGTTAAATTGTCAATATTAATAAATCAGTGAACACATTGCATTTTTTTCTGAGAGTAGTTAAGCTAATTTGGACTGTACAGCTGGAAATTACCCTTTAGAGGGCCTCTCAAAAGGACCCCAAAATGAATCTGTAATAGTTATGAATAGGCATGAGAAAGTAAGACAATGTGACATAAACATTTAAAGTCATCATCATGTTCTTTTGTCAACCTTGGTGTAATTTTCCGTGGGGGTTTTTGTGTAAAAAATTATAGATGTTTTAACTCTGTTATGTTTCAAGGATGAAATTTCTCTTGGTGGTATACATCTGAAATACGGAAGGCTTTTTTCACAAGGGGTCACAAAGCCAAACAATTAGGGAACAACTGGTTTAGCCACGATGTATTGATATCAAATAACCTTATCTTTTGTTAAGTCATTTTCTATTCTTTAAATGGTCTGCTACTGCCAATGAAATGAATGCAGTAGAGTTAAAAATTGTATTTCCCCCCGTAAAATGTTGTGAATTTAAGATAAAGTACATTTTAAAATACTCATGTTAAATAAATCTTGAGTAGAGTTGAGTCCATGTGTTTATTTCCCTTCCTAAAAAGTCTTGAAAATATGAGGAAGAACTGACTTATTCACTTAGTTCAGTTAGCTGAAGATTATAGAAACATTTGCTAGGCCTTTAGAAATATTCTCTCCTCATGACCACTTTCTATCCCAACTCTAATATAAATATATGACTCGATAAAATCCCTACCCTTCATACTTATATATTTTTATTAGCTGTATTTCATTTAAAGACACTCATTGTATTCATACAGTACACAAAACTAGAACAGCTTGTAACAAGTCTGATTTCATTCAACATTTACACGACACTATTATACATTAAAACGCACTTTGTAAACCACACAATATAGACCTGCAACCAAATCACAATTCACAAAAAAATATTTGTCGTTAAATGTATTAAATTGCACATGTAATTCTGACTGCATCTACAGAAATGCTACAGCAAACCTTCATAACACCCTGTAACAGCTCAACGTTTGTGTTTCATAAAGTGCATATAGAGTCACATCGGCGTCACTCTCACAATGGCTTTAAGAAAGGTCATTCTATGGAGACGTTTTGATAATATAAATGTGTTGTTTAGGCTCACTCACCCATCAAAAAAGAAAAGAGTGTACAAATCTGTTCAAAACGGCAAGGCACTGAAACAGTGTTTGGCTATCTTTCAGAATTCAATCAAAGCAATGGGCAAGGTCATGGCTAGAACAAATTACAAGTTGTTAAGCAATATAAAACGATTCTTTAGATTGTGACTCTTTTAATTACGACTGTTATAGTCTCCCTAAATAGTATGTGGTGTAAAGACTGAGTTGCCTCTGGCTTGTTTTAACTTCTATGTTGATTTCATTTATAAATACTGTTCAAAGCCATTTTTTTTTACTGGTCCTTGAACCAAATATCAAAATGTTTTGGGAAGTAAAAAAAAATCGAGAACCTAAATCAACATTCTAAAAAACGATTCGCCATATTCCCTTATATATACAATAATATCATATTTGAAGGACAGTGAGATAAATGGTTGTAAATGAAGTAGTGTTAATCCTCTGCACTGAAAAAGCTTTTATTTTCCTGGATAGACTGAGTTACACAAAGCTCTGTTTACCTAATGACCCACACAGCTGCTGAGCAAGCGTCAACTCACTCACTTAAAGCAGCAAAGTGAGGGCGAGCAGGCAAAGCAAGGAAGCAATCAATTCTGTGTTTAGATGAGGCCCTCTTGTGGCAAAGTTGGGGACATTCAGCGTGCCGTTCAACATGAGGCAGGGGGTCATCGTGGCATTGCAGCACTCCAGGTGACAAGGAGGTGTTGTGGAGGTCTTGCATGGGGTTTGGGCTGAACAGTTGGTGGTGCAACCTGCGGTCCACTGTAGTGAGGTACCCACAGTCTCCTTTTTCAGCTGCAAAAGCAACAGTGAGTGAGACAGAACAGTTACCGACCTGCAAGTGGTTAGTAAAAGCTAAATATGATATTCCATGTTGTAGGAAGCCTTTCTCAGTCAGGCTATTCTTATGCTTTTTAAATAATAAAGTGCAGAGAACAAGTTAAGAAACCTTAGTGAAAGTACAGAATTGGGTCTTTTTTTTTTTGCTCATCAATGACAGCAGCAAAATAAATGTTTTTGATTTTAAAAAAGTGAGACAACTTTCATAAATCAAGAAAAACAAATGAGTAGGACTAAAAACCCATGTATGTCACAGAATAATGTTTTAGAATAGGGAGTTACAACTAGAAATGTATAGAATCTGCTGCTTGTGCAAACTTTCAATTTATTTCCAATTTGTGGTAGCTTTACACTTTGCTAAAATGACAAATTATTAGTCTGACTTATGGCTCAGAGTGTTCTGATACAAAAAGTGACCATGCATGGGGGTTAATGACTGCGTAGATGTAATGAACAATGAAAAGAAAGCAGGTATATAAAAAAGTCTGGTCTCCAAAGGTTTATACATTTTAATCATTCGTATATGTTGATATTAATGTTGTTAGAACTGTATTGTGTTGTCAGCCGAAATGTACATGACATTTTTGTTAAGTTTTCATATTTTGTTTACAACAGTTCTCACCTGACAGTGTGGCTCTGAAGAGGAGCACGTTTGTAGGTTTTTGAAAGTTTTGTAGCAGTCTGTACCTGTGCATTTACCCTGACTGCATTTGTTTCCCTGAAGAAAAAAAAACACACACACACAAAGGAAGGATGACATGTAACTTACATCAGAGCTGACTTACACATAGGCAAATTATTATTCCATCACAATATCAAATCATTTGAAGGTTATCGTGACCACTGAGAAATGGTTCAAAGTCAACATTGTATACAGAATAGATACAATTAATGGAGATTGACAGCAGCAGTTAGACAAAAGCCAGCACAGACTCACACATGCATCTTTTCATCCTTACTTTGTTTGCTGTTGTTTGGGGCCTGGCTGTGGTCGTAACCATTGGTGTTGCCTTCTGTGTGGTTGTCATTGCTGAAGTCAAACAACAGAAAAGTCAAATGTCGAAAAACGTGCAAACCGAAGACTAAATGTGCATTTCTATAAACAGTTACGAGAGCTGTGAAAAGATTTGTAAGAGGAGTCTGTTCACCTGGGGTTGTGGTCATCATCATGGATGCAAAAGTGCCATTGAGACAGCCTGTGGAGTTGCAGCAGCTCACAGTACAGTTAGTCTGCGAGGAGTTGAAGCAGCTGTAAGAGCAGGAGGCGCTGCAGCCGACAGTGTAGTACATGTCCGTCTGCCTTATCAGCTGATCATTCGCAGAAAGACACATACGAATAAATGTAATTGCATTGTACAAAATGTGATGATTTAAGAGAATTATTGTTTCATGAAATAGTTTGTCAAAAACCTGAAATATTGGCGTGGGCAGATGTGCAAAAACCGGAATGGCTATTTAAGTTTGATGTATGCTAATGTGCTTGCTAATTTTGTCTTAAAAGCTTGGAAAAGAAAGACAAGATATTTTGTTTAATTAGGGTTTGTCTTTCTTTTTGTTGCCAGACAATGAATAGACCTACTATGCACTCTGATCCTGGAAGGTTTTAACTCATGGTGTCATCTAAGTCCATGCGGGGCATTTAAGTATGACACAATAATAAAATAAAAACTTCAATCCTTCAAACTGTAAATGACCTCATCACAAGACATTGCACTACACAACAAGATTAATCTACAGAAACACTTTTGAGCGTTTTATACATGTTCAAAGAGCTTTCCATACAAGCAGACATCAAAAGTCTGATATATAAGGATAGTAAGGCCTACTTGCAAATACCAATCATATAGATCACTAACACACTACAACATTTGGTTATTAGTCTGTGTATCTGTAACATGCTAATGTATGTATATGAACAATACACAGATTGCATATGAATTTAGAATCTATTGGACTGGGTCAAGATTTTTGGCGTCAGAGGTTTTGACATGAGTGGTTAACATTTGTTAATGTCTGCGGGCTCTGGTTCCAGAGGAAAAGGGATGGGAGAGGGACCAATCGGCCGTGTAGCAAACAGGGAAAACATTGCGTCTTTGAGTATTTAGAAAAGCGCTATATAAATCTAATTTATTATTATTATTATTATTATTATAGCCTACTAGCGTGGAAGTGTAACTAACAATGATATGGTAGAAGTGGTCTCTTACTTGATTTCAGGTGTAGCCTCTCAAAATTCTACTTACTAGCTGGACTATAAACATTGAGTTAAGCATGAAAAAACAGTCTGGCACCGATGAGCCGGCGATTATTTTTGGCCAAGTGCAGCTTCAACTTCACTCCCCTGAGCTGAATCTTATTAGGACTAAATCCATTGGCTCTGAGATGTTACCATGTAATACAGTTTTGCACATATATTATAGATTTTAGGAGTAAAACATTAAAACGTTGAGTTGGTTCAAAAGGTTTTGCTGTAGTCATTTGCCTTCTCTCACCTCGCAGCAGTAACCAGGAGTGCATGAAGTGGTGTTCTGACTCATGTACATGGAGTAGCAGTCTGAATAGTTACAGGCGAATGAGGGGCAGTTGATCTGTGTTTGAAGAGAGATTTCAAAAGATTGCACAAGAGAAAACAAGAGAATGGAATGGTAAATGCAAAGAAATATTCTTCCATCTAATAAGGTAGACTTGCCATGCCCATTGAAGAATTCGTACCAGATGTGCCACCTGCAGCAGAAAGACAGAAGGAAAGCCCAAAGAAGAAAATCATTTTATTTTATTTTCATGGGGGACAAAAAGTCTAAAAAGTAAGCTGAAACATGTTTTTATTTGTTGAACCAAACCATACCAATGGAGGTTGATGGCTGACTGGTGGGCATCATTGTGTTTGAGGATCCAGAGCCTGAAGTCATAGAGTTGGTTGAACTGGTCCAGCCTGACGCCATCATGGTAGTGCTGGACTGGGCCATGGTCATAGAACCAGCTGTAGAGGAGGCAGAATCGGTTCCTGAATTAGTAGCACTGATTGAACTAGAGGTGACAGGTGATGATGATGCAGAATTGGCAGAAGAAGTTTGGCTTGGGAGGGACTGTGTGGTGGATGCTGAGCCTGTTGAGGAGGCGGTGGTGGTGGGAGACTGGATGGAGGTGGATGCTGAGCCTACAGAGGAAATAGAGACTGTGTTGGTAGATTGTGAGTCTCTGGAGGTGCTTGTGGTTTGAGCGGACTGGGTGGTGGTGATCATTTTTGTACCTCCAGAGTTGGTAGGCTGATTGGTCGAGGCTGTTTGGCTTCCTGAGGATGTAGCTGCGGGGCTGGTGGTGGTGGACATCATAGCAGACGGGGCAGGCTTTGAGGTTGTGCCTCCAGAGGTCGTGTCTCCAGAGGTCATAGTGGTGGAAGGCATGGCGGTGGAGGCACCAGTGGAAGAAGTGGACATCATAACGGTGGAAGATTGGCCTGATACTAATACTGATGGAAGAAGTATTCCAAAAATGAGGAGGCGCAGAATACCATTGCAGCCTGGCATTGTGGGAAACACAAGAGGAACATGTATTATGAAACCCAAAAATGGGAATTTCATTACATTTAATTTTAACCAAATTGGGTATTTCTTAGTAAATAAGGGAATGCCATCTGCCTTGCATTGGTTAACATAAAAATAATTAATGGAATCATTAATGGAATCATTTCCTGATAAATGTTACTTTTAGATTATACTCAAGTACCAGTGTGTCGCTTATGAGGGAATTTGGAGTCTAATACAAACACTTTACAGATTATGAATGAATTGCCATTACATTTTGAACAGAAATCCATGTTTCTCCCAGGATAAAGCCAACCGACTTCAACAATTTTCTCTTCCTCTAATGCAACCATGCCATTTTTGTGTCTTAGCTAAAGGTCTTCAAATTAAAACTGCAATGTGTTGCTTCTGAGTGAACAGGTAGACCAATATTCTTATCTTCAGCCACACTAGTGGCATGGCTCCAGTCAGAGATTGCAATGATGGTCAGCCTGATAAAGACAATGATATATATCGAATATTGGATTATTTGCCATTGAATTTTGCCTCAAGGTTTCAGACAATGCAAGTTAAGTTTGGTTATCCCAAGATTCTCAGAAAGTCAAGAAGAAGAAGAAATTCCAGCTGTGCTTGTAGTATGAAGACTTATTGTGAGACACTGCACTTTGCCTGGTTGCAGCCTTTAATACTGATTTATTTCTCTTACACGCCTGCCTGATGTTTATTTGTAAATGTATCTAGGTCTGGGAAGACCAACATACCAAATCGGCCTTTAAGATAAATAAAGTTGTCTGAGTCTGAGTCTCTAGCATCACAATGATGTTTACATTTCTGAATGCCTAGCTATTGGATTATCATGAATTCTGTGACAGATATTAAATTCTCCAAACACAATGAGCGCTTAAATCTTTGATGATCCCTCACCTTTTCTCTTGCAGGCCAGTGAAGCCCATGTGCAGCCCAGTATCAATGCCAACGTTTGTGACTCATGTATTCATGAGAGAGCTCCAGTATTTCATCTTTACTTTTGGGACACTGACAATGAAGTCCCAGAGTGTCAATGGTTCTGCTTTCATTTATTACTCACTTGTTATGTACTGCACTTTATGAAAGTTTCCACTGTGCACTGTGACCTACATTGTTAAAATATACAGGCTGATATATGTTGAATAAAAATGTTAATCACTGGGTGAAAAATAAAACAGGTGATTTTGGTTTCAACCCTACAACAGCCAACTGGCCTGTTTAAATGTGTTTGAGAGAGACCTGAAGCAATAGCAAAGTCATCCTGCAAAAGAGAACAGCAAATTCCCAATATATAAATCTGACTGTGCTTAAACAGACCCAAATTTGTCTTAATGTTTTACTATAACAGTTAACTATAACCTCTGTCTACTTTGTACATATGACATATTTTGCCAGTCAGTCCACCCTCCAGTTGTTATTCCAATTAAAACCTTTTTTTCAATGTGGTCCCAGGCAAGCCAAAACACGTCGGTCTAATTTGTTAATAAAGTTGATCTTCATACTACAAGTGTTGCTGGAGCTTTTTGGCAAAAAGAAGGAAATATGCTGTATATACTGTTAATCTTAGAGACGCAATAGAAATACTGTTGGGTTGGATTGGCAGGCGATGGAGGAAAAAAAAAGATGGAAAGTGATTTCAAATGAACAAAAACAGTCATACCGATTTCTTTTATCAAAGAGGTGGAGGCCATCATCACATTAGCAGAAACAGAGGGAGCTCTTTTTCCAGCCTGAGACAATTTCTAAAAATGACAAGAGGGAAAGACAAGAGTCAAACACAGTCACTGTTAATTAGACTGCAGACAGATGCTCTGTTTGTAATACCAACAAACATTAAATAGACCCAGAGAGAAATATCTCTGTGCATTTAAGTGGTGACAAAATACCTTTGTGATGGAAGTTGCTGCGGGCACAATTCAGAATAGTTTCAGAACTGGTCCCTGAATTACAGCTGTGCCCACTCATTGTAACACGCCTGGCAGTTCCTGTGATCTGTGAGAGTCATTTGAGGTCTCCTCTTTTTAACAATTCTCCAACTGTTCTGGTGAAACTGATCTCATAATTGTTTGGATGACTCACTCACTACAGAAGGTTGACAAATTTTAGCTTTAAAGATGAAATTCGACCCTTCTTTGGATTTTTTTTTTTTTACTCTTTGTGAAAACTTTCTAAAGCAGGATAAGCAAATTTCCAGCAATGGTCACTCCCTAGTGAGGTCACTCGTACTAAAATAAGTCCTCTGAAGTGACCTAGGATTATATGACTAGTGTCTCTGTGTGCTGAGGGTCTATCAGCGCTCTCAATTAAAAAGTGTTTGTTCCTCGTTCAGTCCCCTTGGGAGGACCGCTGAGCAGCACAGGTTGTTTTTCCCCCTCTCCCTTGGATCCCAGCCCGGGGTCCTTTGGGCTCTACACCCTGGAAACTGAGTGACAACAGTAGCCATTTTGGGTTCCAGGTCAAAATGCAGAGTTTCTTTGGAAAAAATGGATTCCATAGAGAATATTTAATTCAATGGACAATAACATTAAAAAAAAAGTGTGAAATCATCGTAGTGCAAACTGCACATGTTCCTGTCGAGCCTGTTACCTAAACTCTCTATGAACATTTTGCATCATGTGGAACTGATGAGTCATGCTCAAGATTTAATTACAGGACTTGTGACATGATATGACACAGAACCCTTGACAACAACACCAGGTGTGAAAAAGGTAGAAATTTAAGAAAAGTTATTGTCTATTGATCTTTTAAAATCAATTTGATATGAATACACGGTGTCTATGTTTTGTGGATATGATACGAGAGTTATGTTTTGGGAATAAATGTGTAATCAGCCAACATAGGACCACCCTGAGTCTGACTTCTGACTGAAAAAGAGCTCAGTTCTAAGTTATATCTTTAAAGAGAAATAAGAAGAATGATCAGCCTGTTTGAAAATAGAAGAAATACTTGGCTTTACTTTTGATTAGGCCAATTTCAACATTCACTAAAACATCTGTTAGTGATGAACGACAGTTAGAGACCTATAACAGATGCCAAAGCCTTTATCTGCCATATCATCCAGCCTACAATAGTACCTCTGTTAATGACCGACATCTTCCTCTGATTCTCCGTGCAATAATATTGAATCTCCATTTAGCTGAATTTACATCCTGCTATCAAAATCAAACGTTTGAAATCAGCAATGTTTCGACTAAAGTCCACTTACCTGTGCGGCTCTTCGTTGGGCTTTTTAGTCAGCTGTGGTTGAAGTGAATGAGCTTTCTCTGTCTGGCGTCCCCTTTCTCTAGTGCTCGCTGTCACCTCCCCCCATCCGCCTCCTACCCACAGCCCTGTAGTGACAACCTAATAAGTGGAAACTCTCACCTGCTCCGCTTTACCAGTGAGAGGAGGAGGAGGCTAAAAGCTGCTGTTGCTGGGTGCGTCTAAAAGATGCTGCAGAACTCCTGTGACAATCATTTTCAGAAAAATGGGTTTAGAGAGGAAAAATCAGAGCATTTCATCAATGCTGAGAACTATTAGTTTTTATGAATATCCCATTTTTACTGGTAAGAAATGTGATTTGGACCTGAATCTGGTCAACCCAAAAGAGATGATCAAATAACATGGTTATCATGAGCACAGTAATTCAGTAAAAGTGTACTGAATGTTCAAGAACTCCTAAAGTTTGTAAAACTATGCCAGATAAAATAATGAATAAAATTCTAACTTTTTTGACCCAGAGCTATCCACATATTCTTAAATACCATGCAAATGTGCATAAACTCTGTGTAAAAGAATGTATTATGTTAAAACTCACGACTTGTGTCGCTTTGATGAAAGCAAACTCAAACTGTGCACCCAGCAATCACAGGTTTACTAAAATAGCTCAGTGGATTAAGCCTTCGCTGGCCTATAAGAGCTCAGGTTGAGATTTCAGTGCGCTGTGGGGGCTGATTGTATAGGGAAACTCCTGGTTTCTGTTCAGCACAATGTGAAATCAGACCCCCTCTCGCTGCTGGCCATAAAGCCCCCGAAAGACTACAATTAGCTCTTTGTGGCCAAAAAGAACGTAGAATTCTTGGGCACAACACAAAAGGCACTTGCACAATTCAGGTGACAGAAGTCCTTCCTTTTTTTTTTCTTTCTGTCCAAGCTGCCTAGAAATAAAATGAAACACAGTTAATCTGCTGGATATGGCTCATTTTAAGTTTTGCCAGTAAACACAAATTAAACGTTAGTTTCTAAAATTATAATCCTGGTAAATCAACCATGGCTTTAAACAGTGCCTACAATGAGGTATTTTACTGACTTGTTGAACTCTCTAAAGACACAATGTAAGCTCTACATGTTAGGATAATACATAATAATGGTGTAAAGTATATGTACTATATAAGACTTGGTCTTTCGTCTGGACATCTTTGCTTTCCCTGGAGGGGTGAATATTATATCAGGTGTAAAACAAAATCAAAAAGCAGCTGAGAGCTTTAATCAGAGTTTCAAAAAATGTCAATTGTGTCCTTTAACCAAACTGAGTGTTAAAAGAGTTATTAGTGCTGAATACCGGTTATGAAGAAAACCCTTTCCCAGTTTAACAGACGGGGACAATCTCCTTATAAGTCCTTATCAACTGTTTCTGCTTCCTCACTTGTGAAGAGATATTACAATAACACAAAGAGGACATTTCATATTAACACCTACTTAGGCTGGTTACACACTACATGATTTTTGGCTCGACTTTTGCATAATAACTGGGGAAAGAATGAGGAACTAACTCATAGTTAACCAGTCATTAATGGGTAGATAGTGAGTTACTTGTCGTCCAATTCTATAGAGTATGATAAAACTTAATAGAGAACCAAGTGGGGCCTCATACTGGGTAGTAACTCAGTACTAAATCATTCATAAAACACATTTTATTTACTAAGCTTTTGATCAAGGTCCTGTGGGATCTCATGTCAGTGGAATCGCCACTGTGAACTCTTTACTACAAACGGCATGTGTGTGGTCTCGCGGTCTGGCCGTATCATCTGTGCATTAGGAGGATTAGGTTAAAAATCAGTTGAAACCGTCCTGTTGTAGTGGTCAGCAACATTTTCTAAATTCGCCAAGTGTGTAGCCAGTTACTTACCGACTATGCAACCTTCCTTTTTTTTTTTTTTTTTGGTTTAAATTATTTTTTTAAGCAAAAGTGAAAAAAAAAAACCCCGACAGGAGCAGAGTGTGCTGTGCATGTCTCGACTTTCCCTGTTTTTATTTTCACAGATCCAGATGTGACATTGATTGCATTGAGGGTGATCCATTGGTCCTCTTTTCTGAGAAAGATCCCCTTGGGTCACATTTCTGGTTTTCATCACATATTCATGCCTTATATTTTGCACAGAGATGCCCTGTCTATTTTTGTCTCGTTTCTTTAGGCAGCCAGTGGAGCTGAACACAGGTATACATGTTTCTTATCAATCACGTGTCTTAAAAGTTAAAGAAATACTGTAATCTCTTCATATACATGTATGTGTGAATGGTTGGCAGTTAAGGGCCCACAGAATCTCTGCATCTTCTGATGGGTGTGAAGTTGCTTTTTTTTTTAATGAACTCTTTCAACACACACATTTAAGTATTATTTAAAGACAGGGTAAAATGTCCAAGTTTTGTAGAAACATTTCAAGCTATACATGTGCATACAGACACACGTATTCATAATGAACTAAACCTAGAAGTCAGTATTCTAAGCTTGTACATGTTATGAAATTCATGGTCACAATACGAGACAGGTTATAGAGGAACTTTTTGATTTTCCTTTGGCGAGGAAATGTATGTTACAGAAATCAGTTACGCACAGGTGCATCACAGAATAGATGAAATAAACCGATAATATTAGAAAATCAAACTACTACTGTACACTGTAAGTAATGTGTGTTTACCAAACTAGAGTATGCATGAGATTGCAGAAGTATCTTCATGTTTATAGTCTCATCATTTGCATTTCAAAAAGTCCCTTACACTGACACTCTTGTCTATGAGTCCAAAACAATGAAAACATGTTTTCACATCACAAATAAGAGACTATAAAGTGCACATACAGAGACATCCTTTTCATTACCTGAAGCTTGAATTCTTTATGACTGTTTGATTGTCTGTTTGCATATTTGTGTGAGGTCTTGAGACTGATTGCAGACAACAGATATATACAGCAAAGCCTGGACAGAAACTACACATGTAAAGGCTGAATTTCCACACCCATTAATGTTCCTGTATAGGCTCACGTTTCACTTAATTCTCAGCTTTACTTTGAAACTAAAGACTTGTGTTTTTCAAACTTGTTCTCCTGGGTGATACAATGATTGAAAGTTAAAAAAAAAATGTCCTTAGTAATCCTGTCTGTGGCCAGCAACTAACATAGGAAGGTGAAGTAAACAAGTTTCTTCACAATCAGGTCAATCAAGACAAAAGTTGATTTAAATCTCAGAACTTTGTGTATTCAAAACAGTACAATCGATGTTTGTTACAGACAGTCCAGAGTCCTAAGTGTGTGTACGCCTTTGTTTCAGCTCATCGGATCTTCTCAATAATGTGAAAAACCACATCATAAGAAACATTCTGTAAGACTTGGAATGAAATCATTTGCATCAGCTGAATGTTTTGTCTTGTAAATACTAAACCAACGAAAGAGGTGCTTTGGAGAATAAGAAAACAAATGGAGTCCTACATCACAGCTTGTTACTGTCACAGATCGGGAAAACCAAGAGGAGGACCCAGATGCAGAATCAACAAAAATATTTAATCAAACAAAAACTCACTTCCAAAAATCCAAACAGGAGAAAACAAGAGCCACAGGTAAACCAACAACTGACACCGACAAACACATACAATGAACTCAACAGAAGCAAAGAAACACAGAGACTAAATAGATGGGGTAATTAAACACAGGTGAGACTAATAACACAGGTGAAGACAATGAGGGCAATCACAATGGAGGGAAACACACAGAGGAAGGAATGGACACAAGAAACACTGAGAGGAATGAATGGACTCAAGAAACACTGAGGACAACTACAAAATAAATACATGAAACACTGAAGACACACAGAACTCAAGAATGAACCAAACCCACTAGAACATAAAGAAACACTAAACACTAAAAATACAAAACTAAATAATACCAAATCATGACAGTTACTGCTCTAAAAATGAAGAAAACATTTAAATTATTTGAAGCCATCAAACTGAAAATTGTCAAAGATTCCTCTCTAAAAAAGTTAACCAATCTGGCTATGATTGTTTAAAGCTCCAGTGAGAGTTTTGAGACTGCTTATAAAACAGACTGAAATTTAGATTGCTGCTAAAGCAACCAAGACCGTAAGTGCCAAGATCGAAACTTTCTGTACATCATTCTACATGCCTTTTAATGCTGCTGCAGGGAAGGTGTCAGAAAAAGTGAGTTACAGCGCACTGAAGAAACAGTCTTTTTTAAAATGTATTTTTTCTGTTTTACATTTTCCACAGCAAAGATTAATGGCAAATTACAATTCTGACTGTTAAAAGAATTAAGGATTTTCTATTCTTATGACGCTTATATATGTCCAGAGCAAGAGGAGCAAAGAGATGTGCTACTTTGTCCGCAGGGGGCGCCAAAATCAACATAAACTGAAATATTGGCCTCTTCAGAGTCAGTTTTGGGAATAAGATTGTTCTTGTACTACTACTTGCTGCATTTTCAGTGTTGAAAAGCCATCCAATCTCTGCTTGTCAACCAATGCAAGTTGTCCAAGAGGTGCACTGCAGTTGCACTCAGAGACGGGGCAAGGAAAAGAATCAGTCTGTTTAAATAAAATAAAACAATCTCACTGAGGTGGGAGCAGAGTCGAGCTTGGTTGATGAACAAGGAGGAAAATAAGACTGAATGTTGCATTAGTAAACTGTGTCCTCTTGTTGCAGTATATTTCCCTTGTTTACACTAGCAAATACTGCAGCCAAACTGCAGTAAACCAAATTCCTCAATAATGTTGCTTAACAAATGAAAACAAATCCCACCCCCCCAAAAAGAAAAACAAATCTTAATAAAACATACAGAATGAAATATTTTGTTAATGTTTCGACAGTCTAAATAGTTTTGAATCAATGTATGATATGTTTATTTACCAAAGTTTGATGGAAAGAAATATTAAAAAGACTTAAATAAATGTTAAAATTCAATATATCATGGAACATGATGGCCGGCTTAAATAACATTAAGTTAAATACATTCTAAGGACATGAGGCATTTGAGGATAGTATAAAAAAATTGCATCACAATCGGTTCTTAAGATCAGTAAAGAGTTAGTTGGTAGAATTCAGAGTCTACACTGAAGTCTTGTTATCACTGTTTCAAAACACATGTTTATAGAAGCACATCTTCAGCCTTACATTTGTGTGTTACTTCAGCTCAATGTGTCCCAGGACAGACAGACAGATGGATACTGACACTGAAACCTCCTTCCTTTAACAAGGCTAACAGTCGAACTCTATGTGGAATCGTATTCACATTGTTTATAGATAAGGCTCAGTAGACCAAATTAAGTAGCCTGGACGTACCTGAACTGTGTTAATACACGATAAGAAGATTAGATGAGATTTACCAACCCAGCATTCGTCAGCTGCAGTGTTCACTCAGACCTTGATGCATAGCAACAGGTGAGCCCTGTGCACCACGTTAGCATTCACTATGGACTAGGACATGGACCAATCGGGCCGAAATGGAAGTTATCATTTCCTTAAGACCTTGGATCGCCTCCTCCCATCCTTCATCTGAGCTCCTGGTGAATGTCAGTGTTCACCTCCTTCTGCACATTCTCTAATAGTAAGCTTTCATCCTTGTTTCCATAGATTTCTTAAATCTGTCTTTTTATATGTGGCAGCATCCTTTTCTTTGGTCAACAATCACTCCAGCGTTTCCATCTAATATATTTTCAGCTACAACCATTCACTCCTTTATATGCTGACATTAAGACATACCACAATGTGAGGTGAACATGCTTCAACATGACGGCATACATCCTCTGGAGTGTGTTCACATGGACATTCAAGGGGCTCCTGTGCACCTGCAGGTACCTGTGGGTGAGTGTATGCTTTGGGACATTTCATCATTTGTATTTAAATTCTGGTAACTCATCCATGTAAAGCTTTTTCTGAGGGTTGTTTTATTCATGGTGAATGTACGCCATGTTTATTTGCATTGCAGGTCTGTCCATATAATGCAATCAAATTCTTGCCAAGGCAACAATTCATTACTGAGGGAGCGAGCCGACGGCCGAGAAAGCTTGTGGGTAAGGATGATAAAAAGTCAGTGATAAACATTACCCAGTAAAACCTCTACAAGCATGCAGCTAATACGACTTTATTTAATTGGATTAAATGTGTTTAGACAGGCTTGTGTGTCCTACCTTCATGAGCCTCAAATGTGCTTTTGTCCTTTTGGTTTTGTGGGGACATCAAAAAAAGATGACAATTCAATTACCCTAAAAATGACCTGTTATTATAAATTATACTATGGTCAGGGCAAATAACTCTGATTGGCTGTAAGGTTTCAATTAAATCCTGACAATTGGATACCAATGAGGTCGTTCCAGTTAAACTGTCTGTTCACCATTCTAAATGGTACGTATTAGCTTGTAGCAAAAGCCTCTCCACAATTTATGCAACTTTTTACAAGCAAATGTCTCATAAAGAAGATTAGAGGCTTTAATATTTCTTTAGATTGTTTGGAGAATATGACAACTTTGATGATTAGGATGAAGCTGATGAGAGAGAGAAACTGATAAATTGTTAAAGGCTTTACAAAAACAATGCACTCCATTTTTCTCTGCCTGCAAAGCATGGCCAATTTTGTGACTTCCAGGTAAACTAATAGCTGAAAATGAATCTGCACCAGATGTCACAAATTTGGCAGCTCCACGTTTCAGTATCAATTTGAATTGCTTCCTCTTTTAAAGCTGCTTGTAAGTTTGATCCGTTTGTTGTCACACCCTGAAGTTGCTCCTCTGTAATTTTTGCAGCCATTGTTTGAAATAAATTCTAAAAATATCTGAATTCATTAGCAAGGATTAGATTGTGACTGACGGTTTGTTTAGTGTATATTGTTCTATGTTGATGTGTTTTGGGAGGGTGGGAGGGCTTGAAATTATTTGGGAGAAAAAAAAAGAAAAAGGTTTGGGGAATCACATGCCTTATTGGATAATAGTGACAATCTCAGATTTTTGTCAAACCCTCAGAATTTACCAGAGAAACAGTTACAACCTTTTAAAATCCCTATATTCAATTGCAAAAATCATATGAAACACACTTTGTAATGGTCTTATTTTTTTCATATATAATGTGGAAGGTTGTCTTTTTATAGCATCAGCATGGGTGAAAAGCCAAATACAAATTTCTCACTTTGTGGGACAATAAAGTTAATTTTGATCTTAAACCAGTAATGGTGTTATAAACAGGATAACGCCTGATGAGGTGCATCCATGCCATCCATAAATTCCTGATCATGGACACCTGCCTCGCATAATACTTTAAAAGAAAGTCTATTTATCACAAGTATCAGGTTTGAATGTAAACCAACAACAATCTGTGTAATCTTATCTTGTTTATGGAGCCAAAGGTCTATCTGCTCTATCTGCTGTTCCATCCCAGCACGTGTAAGCAGAGATACGATGTGATTACCTCATTTGTCTTTCTTTGTCAGGTCCTGGGAGTAAAGGGATTATATCCATACCAGGAAGTCCCGACCGCACTACAGCCCTTCATAAACGGCTCACCAAAACCGAGAAGGAGATACTGTCGCTCAAGACCAGGTTTGCCTGTGAGAGAGCATCATGGGAAAGGAGGTTTGCTTATCTGCAGAGAAAACAGGAAGAGCTACACAATCAGGTGTGCTTTCAAATGTGTTAGTGAGAGACAAAGTTGTGTGTATACAGTGAATAACTGATGGCTTTTTCCTTAGGTGGCCTCTCAGGGTGGAGTGTTGGTGAAAGTGGGCAGTTTTGACGATCAGGGGGGATCAGGAGTGGACAATGGCGAAGTATATCAGGAGTGTCCAAGTAAATGACGCAAAAAACTACAGTTTTTAACTGAACAATGCTGCTGAATTAAATAATGACATGTACTAACGACTCTCCGATGAACAGGGAATCTCCCAAGAATTACGTACCAGCGCAGAGGATCTGATTTGTCAACGAGAGGCCTCACGTACGCCAGCAGTTTGACAGGCAGCCACTTCTCCACATATTCAGCGATGAGCTCCAGACCTGCCTCCTCCTCGTCTTCTGGCGCCAGGTACAGCCCTTAAAGGAAAGGTTTGCAAGGGAATTGTACGAGGAAACCATTCTTGTATCAGTAAAGCAAATACAAACTACATCGCAAAGATGGTTAGCTTAGCATAAGGACAGGAAACATGAGAAAACGCTAGTCTTGCTCCACCAAAGCTCCCTGATCATGTTTTATCTTAGATGTTTATTATGAACAAAAAACCAAGGAGCAAGACAAAAAATTGACTTACAAGAGCTAGTACAACAACTGGTAAGAAAAACCTACGTCAACTGATTTGTGTGGACACATGGGATCTGAAATGTAAATGTAAGTCTTGCTACCTAGTTGGATTTTGCTACCTTAGATAGAGAAATATAAAACACCTTCGCGCAGCCATTTCACAAGACAAACTTAAAAGTAAACTCCTGCACACTGTCTAACTTGTAATCAAACATTTATTAGCAAGGTTTCGGTACTAGACCGTCTAGTACTGAAACACACACAGAGCAGTGCATGTTACCTACTGTATAACCTTTCAGAGTGGGCCAGGCCACACTGGAAAGTTGTGAAAGTGCAGTGACGTTCTTGATCCAAATCTCCATCGGAAAACATAAATACGCCAAATATGTCAAACTACACTGCACAGGTTAAAGATTTTTTAAGACATCTTATTTCATTCTTATTTCCCTTCAGATGTTTTAAATCTTCAACATATCATGTATCGTCACTTATATTTTAAAAGCAGCCAATTAAATCTGCATTCTGCTGAAAACTGGTCAATATCTATACATGAACTGTGTAATATCTACACTGTTAATGCATCAGTGTATATTTATATTTATAAATATTGTTTATACTTGCAATTACCTGCTTGAACATAGCTTATTATTATTATTACCACTTTTATTATTGCTCTCACTTGGTACTTATTTTTACTATTTTTATTTTATATTGTAAACTTATCTATAATTCCTACTGATTTTTGGTGTTATGAGCAACTAACAAATTTCCCCCTGGGATTAATAAAGTATTTCTGATTCTGATTCTGATTAAAGCTCTATAAAATGTACTGTCATCTTCTCTATCTTTCTAGCGTAACTGACTGAATCTTTTCTCTTCCTCCAGTAGATCATGGAGAGCATCGAAACCGCCTCACCGGGTTTTTGTACCACACTCCCCCATGGACCTGGAGTTGGGTCACCGTGTCAGGATCATGCTGCCAAATGGAAGGATCAGCACAGGAACTATCCGTTTCCTGGGCCACCTGCAGGGGGAGGCAGATCTCCACCTTGGGGTGGAGCTGCAGACAGCTCATCACGGAATGAATGACGGCAGCCACAGGGGGCACTGCTACTTTGAATGGTGACTGATCTCATTTTCTTACTGTGTGAATAGAAGCCACATGTAACCCTGAGCTCATTAGACAGAAGCTGAATTTTAAGATATTACTATACAGTGTCTGAATGAGGTCTGTCCAGGCTCATCTGTTTAAAAAAAAGTATGACTTCCAGTGCCTGGGTTAAAAACATACCATTACATACAAGTCACTTTGAGAATGAACACATTACATCACAGTCCCTATAACTATGCCTCCAGACATACCTACGCAAATCCTGTGCACTTAGTGATTGAGGTGAAATATGCAAAACACAGGTTGAGGTAAACTTGACAGGCTACAGCTTTTAAGAAGTGGTGTGTGTGTGTGCACTTGAGGTGTGAACTCATTTGCCTGCAGCAATGACAGATCTGACTTCCTGTAGAAAAAAAAAACAGGATTCTCCATGAACACAGAACTAATGCAGCCTTCAAATGGTTTGACCGTAAAAAATACAAAAGCTTTTTGTTGAGTTTCCGTTAAGAGTTTAGCTCATTACATCTCAGAAGATTTGATTTGAAAGCCAACTCCAAACACGACCACTTTTTTAACGTTTGCTTTTTCTGTTTCTTCCCTTTGCAGCAAACCTGGTTATGGGGCATTTGTACCATTCCACAAACTACTGATGGCCTGGGAATAACAGAATGACAGACAACCGAGCTTGGCAACTGGTTGCACCAGAAAACTGAGTGTAAAACATGAGTTACAGTTACCTTATTGTAATGCAACACATCTTTGTATTGACATACTGTACATACAAAGTTATGTATGCCATTTGTACTGAGCCCATGAAGGCTAAGATAAGAAAAAATAAAAAGCTGTTTGTAAATCAGTTCCACACCAAATCTGTGCCCACAGCTTGTAAATTCATGACTGAAGTTTGCAAAGCTGTGTGCACTGTTGAAAAACACCCTGGGTATGGGTTCTGAGAGGTTACCCAAAATCTATGTGCACAGATTTACAAACTGTGGTAATGGATTGAAAAATGGCTTTTACATTTTTTCTAACCTTGGCCTTCAGGGGCTCCCAACATATGACTTATCTGATAATCACAATAAAATACAATAAAAAATCAGTTCCTTTGCTTCAAGTGGGATCTTATGTAAGAGATGCAGAAACTATCTGATGTTCTTTTGTCAACTTAGATGGTATATACGTAAGTCTGCTCCCAAAACAAGCTAACATGTCTTAGACTAAGGGAAATGCTTAATTTCCAGCACACGGTCAGCCTTGGTAAAAAAAAAAAGCAAAAAAAAACTTATGATGATAACCATGGGAATAAAAAAACAGGTCGAACCAAAACATGTTTTATAGCACCATGATAGACGTTTCCAACATTGGGAGCTGATGGCAGTGTTGTTAGTTTTTCAGGTAATTTGCTATTCACCAACCAGAATAGCTCTTCTATAATACCATGGTTGTATTTATTATGGATCACTGAATTCTAAAGCAAAGCTAATGGTGGCGCTAGAAGATAAGTCAGGACTCACTTAGGTCATCTTATGGACTCCAGATATCTGTACAAAATGATAAGCCATGAATTCCAAACAACAGCACACAGACACGTGCACAGACTGACCTTTCCCCCCCCCAGAAAAAAATGTTTGTGCTTGCAACATGAGATGGAGGGTAAAAATGTCTTTTACACCCTTGGGCTTGCCCCAGTTTTACCAGAAAAAAAATGAATGAGTGTAAATGTCATGTTGCTCATTTCCAGATAAACTTTGGAGACATATGACTAAGACATTCACAAGACAGATCACAACACTGACCTCAAATATCAGTAGAACTAACACACATTTAACATTTCTAAAAGTTTTTTAATTTTTCGTGACTTTTTCTTCTTTACAGGTTGAACATGACTTTTTACAGTGTATGTTTACAAGGGATTTTCTACAACCCCATAAATTACCAGTGTTCATGAGAACTTAGTTCTGGGTACATTTGAATAATCATTCATTGAACAGTAACAAGTTTATAGAGAGTTACATAATGTTTGTATGGATAATTTTTAACAAAACAAAAACTGAATTACTATCAATAATACTCTTGGTTTGTGTCTAAGTCTTTTGTGAGTTTCCTGGTTCGGTTAGGATTTACTCTAAATCCCATGTGATGGGAATGTAAGTGCACCTCTCAGAGTTTACAATGAACAGCAGAAAGTTCAGGAGAACTACAGGGAAAGCAAAAGTAAAACTTATATACTATATATACGGAGAATCATGTTTGCTTGAGAACTAATTTTAGGACAAGGATTAAAATATACAAAATTTGACACAATATGCATCAACTGTCAAAACTCTAGAAAACCAGCAGTGATTACTTCTGGTCTAGAGGCTTTTTTCATCCAAAAAATGGATGACATGGCCACAACTGACGACAATGTCATACAAATGCATATAGCTCAAGCCAAACAAATAACAATTCTATAATGGCATATTACAGAGTAATGATTGGCTTTGGAACCAACCAATGGTACATACTATGAGAGTGTCTTTTTGCTTTTTGTTTCAACACAAATATCATTTTAGATCCAACTAAACAAGGAGGCTCAAGACATAATTTTTTCAGAGAAATCATCAGAATATCCCTCTCTGAGCCTTCAGGTTGAGGATCTCTGCAGCCAGTTTCTCAGCATCCATCAGATGTGGAAACATCTCCATGACTGCATCCACCTGATTTGGGTTGAAGATGGCTTGCAGATTCTTTCGGAGTTCCAACCTTTGCGGGTCAAACACAGCAGAGGCAGCTTGTTGTTGGCCCCAGGATGGGTGCTGATGGTCTTTGTAGGAGCAGCAGGAGTTGTGGGAGTTTGAGAAGTGGATCGAGGGCGGCAGGCTACATGATGACCTGGCTTGGGGCAGCCCCTGAAATGGATCTGACCAGTAGTTTTCCTGATGATTTGGGGTCCCATGGTAATTGTGATGGTTTGGGAGGCTTTGCTGGTGTGGTACACCATGCTGGAACATGTGAGAAGGGTAGGTGTGGTATTTGGTTTGACCCTTTGACTCCAGGTTCCCATGATGTTGCTGAAGAGCTGAGGACCCTACATGGGAACAGCACCTGTTGCATTGGCTGCTGTTTTTTTTCTCTAAAGGCACAGAGGTATGCCAGGATCCAGTGAGGGCACTCTGCTGCTGGGCCCTGAGCCTTTGGGAGGTATTGTTGCAATGTGAAAAGTCAGAATACTGGCTCTCTAAAGAGCCAAGGCCAGAATCCAGGTACTCCTGAGAGATGCTGGTGTAGTAAGGATTGGCCAGTTGGTGCATCCCTGACCAGTCATTCTGACACTGGCTTCCTGTTACCGGACATGGCTTATGATTTGGACTCTTTCTAGGGTCCTTCCAGTACAGCAGCGCATTTTCACTAACCAGACTGGGATATGAAGAACTTTGCTGGTCTCTCCCTTTTATGAACTCTGAGTCTTGAAGATAGGAACAGGCATTATTGGTAGGTTTAGGATCAGCCTGAACTTGCTTGGGTGATGACCTGGCATTTCTCTCTTCTTTGACAGTAGAAATCTGGGCTTTTTCTCTCAGTTGATCAGCCAAGGACAGGTACGACTGGTTATTTCGCTCAGGATGGTAGAACTTACATTTGATGCCGTAAGTGCACTTTTTGTCTGAAAACAAAAAAATGGACACACACACAAACGTTATAGGTCATCTCATGTGGGAAACCACATTAGTTCACCGACCAAAATCACTGACAGAATGAAAGCAGAATGGTTCCTCTTCTAGAGCTATGTGTTAGTCATATCTTACCATAAGGGCAGAGCTGCCTCTTTTGCTCTGTAGGCAGTGGCTTTGTCCTCAGAAAGTTTTCAAGACTGGGGCCATGGCGGCCAAGAGGGTCATCTGGGGGCATGAACCTGGACAAAAAGGAAACAGATGTGAACTCTACAACGTTGTTTCCATGATTACAACCTTAAGACACGTTATGCAACAACTTCACCACAATCACAGCCTCAAACAGAAGAACAGATTGCTTACTTGTCATTGACGAAGGAATACATGAGGAGCCTCTCCTCGATGCATCTCTTCCACTCTGGTCGTTCTCCTTGGAGGTCACGGTAGGTGTCATTGGATACGATCACTCCCTCTGACTCGTACGCCAACTTGACGATAAAGCGGTCGTCATAGCAAACCACTCGCTTACCGCCAACACGCCGTGATGGAGTGAAGACCACTATTTTACGTTTTTCGAGCTCCGCAAGGATGTGTTGATCTGAAAGTGCAAACACACACGAGTAAGACTTTTGTTGTTTAACTGTGATTTGTCATAGTGTTTAAGTTTAGAGACACAGACATACAGTATGTTTGTGTTTGTTTATCACAACATGTTGTAGAGCCGTTCCTTTGAAAATCAACTTTCAACACTTACAAGCACTTTTCCATTCAAGTGCTTCTGTTTGTCTGCTCTGTCCTCACTTCGCCCCTGGCTCTAGATGATCTCCTCCTGTAGATGATTGTCAGCACTTAACCACACACTTCAAGTAAACTAGGTGTGGAAGAAAAAAAAAACCCACAGCTTCACTTCCTGGTGGGGCTTTCCAACAATCTACTGGAGGCTGATTTTCTTTTCTTTTTTTTTACTTCCTTGTTTGCAGAATGAAAATAGAACCTATGGATAGCTCCACCCAGGTTGCACAGTAACTGAAGGGAATGATGCATCAGTTTGTAAACCCACGCTCCACCCTTCATTATATATTTGTTGTTGGAGCTGTCAGAGGTTAGTTAAGCATGAAAACATGACGCTAAGGCTGAATGAAAGACAGCTTCTGTTTCTCCAAGAGACTATGAAGTCTGGGAATGATATCAATCTAGATTGTTCAGATACAGCCAAAAACATGTGACTCAGCTGCCAGAAATGTGGAGCTCTTTATTGTTTTCTACTACTATCAGTTACACCATCATTACACTGAATACCTACACTTGACGCTGTCTTAGCTTAATACTGAAACCTAACTCAGTGGTCAATTGGGTAAACCTCAGTTTCACAATCTTAACTGTATTGCCCCATAGGTTTGGCACCAGTTCTGTACTTCTTCATCTGACAGAAGGGAAATATTATCTCATGTCTTTCACAAGAATGAATTACGTATACAGGACTTTGCATACCTCCAGTTATAGAGGACATTCAAGCAGCAGTCGTATCACGTTTCATGGTAAAAGAGGAGCTCTGAAGGAGAAATGATAACTTATGGGAATAGAGCACTGATTCCTGGCGAATTAAAGGAACAGGTCAACATTTTGCAAAGTATGCTCTCTGCCAACTCTTGTAAAGTTAACAAATAAAGCATGTCTGTAATTATTATCTGATATATATCGTTGTTTAAAGGTGCACTATGGAGTTTTGGTAGAGAAATGTGAAAGTTGGAGAAGTGTACAGATTCTGTGGTTAATGTTCATAACTCTATACACAAACTGTCCTCAGGGGAAAATTTGGTCCCTGGAACACTTTTTGAAGCTAAAATGCTAAGCGAGAAGTTATGGTGGGCCCGCACCAGTGAAACCGTAACTCTCCTGGTAGCTTTTTTAGCTCCAAACAGCGTTCCAGGGATCCATTTTTCCCTTTGAATAAAGTTTGTGTCTTTATTTCAGAAAATATAGCATAGAATTGTTTCACTACTCCAATTTTCACTACCAAATCTACATAGTGCACCTTTAATAATAATAATAATAATAATTTAAAAAAAAAGTAAAATCCACTGAGGATTGTGATGGACTTATTTTTGATGGTACCAGTTGCTTCTGGGGAGAACTGGCAATTTTGCTCCCAGCTAAGAAATAAAAAAATGACAGAATTGGCAATTTAGCAAATGTGCAATGAGATAGGATATATTCAGGGCGCTGAAAAAATGTGATCATGAACACCTTACACACAACCACAGAAGAAGTAGGCAGCAATGGTATACATCCAATGAACTGAGACCGAAAGAGCATCAACTGATAACATCATTATCAGTTAGCTGGATTAAAAACAGTAGGGTGTAAAGTAATTCACCTGATATGAAGTGTTTGTATAGACTTGATTTATAATAAACTGAAGGTGATAGCTTGGATTTGCATTAAATTGAATGCACATCTGAAATGAATCCAGTCAGAGTCAGCATTGAATGTCAGACTCAGGGATATGCGATATCACCCTCACTAGTCTGCACCAGAATTACAAGTGGAAATAAAGTTTGGCATGTGTTGTGTCAGATTAAACTTGCATATAACTACTCAACGAGAGCAATGCGTGAACACATTCAACACAGACATGTGGAAGTTAAGCTGCAAAGACAACTGAAGGCTGGTGGTGCTAGCTATGCTAACGTTAGCTACACTTGGCAAACCAACATCATTTACCTGCAGAGTTATGCACATTGAAAAGAGCCACACATTTCAGAAGCATTTTAAATAGCCATCAGTTTCCTCATTGAAGAACATGATTAAAGGTTTCAAATAACAACTAAATAGCGTTTTATACTGACCTAGCTAGTGTTTAGCCATGTTAAATAAATTGTGCTCAATTTGGACTGTTTAATGAGTGTTTTCTTAACTTTAGAGTAGGCTAAGGCTTTTAGGTATTCATTTAGTTGACAGGGAAGATTTCCAGCCCTACTCTTTTTTTTTATTATAGTAAGGGTAAATGGACAAATGGAAATAAAGAACAGGTCAATGCCGTTTGAAGTGGACCACCTGATAAGAGGTCTTGGTCTCATATTGCTTATGTTTTAGCCGATAAGATCATTTCTGCAAAGACTGGGAAAGGTTGGTGCGGCTAAAATAACCTGACGCATGTCTCTCATTGGTTGTGCATTTCTTGGACCCTCACCTGTTATGGGTGCATCAGGTCGGGGCTGCTCTTTACGCCAGGTGGGAACAAACACAGTGATGTTTTTATGACCCCTGTCCAGGAAGAAGTTAACCGCCAGTTGGAGGCCTCGACATGAGAACACTTCCTTGTTGCCATGACTGTATAAAGAGACAGGTGAGAGAGGATTAAAAAAAGTAAGCACTACTAAGTCATTAGAATACATATATGATATACACATATGATACAGGGAGCGGTGAAAATTCAGTTGATCTGTGCAAACACTGCAAGCCTTTGAATGTTCTCCCTTGGGCTATAACTTACTCTGAACTTCATGTATTACACCTGATATCTAATGCGAGGTGGAGATTTGGAGGTGTGTGCCTAGAATTTGCATATTGTAGCAGTGGCCTTTACAAAAACATGCACAGGCAGGGTGGTGAACGCCCTTTTTAAACACGGCCAAGGAGGAAAATGCATGTTTAAGGGTCAGAGTTGAATATCCACATGACAATGAGTGATGACAGCTTAAAACATGTTATTTTAACAGGTGCTTTACTGTTCACAGGCACAGAAAGAGTGTTTTGTCTATTGTGTTTATTGTGTAGCTTCTTGTGCGGGTAATGGGATGGCTTTTTGAGTAGAAAAAGTAGCAGCTTTGATAACAATGAATCAGGACTAAAATTGTCAATTCATTTTCCAATAATATTTTTTTAATTACCTCATTGCAACATTGCTGCCGTCAATAACAATTGGCCTCAATATTGCATCCGCAGTCTTCCAGTCCTGGACTTGTGGTGTGTTTCTGCCGGGTCCGGGGGCCCAACTGGGGGGCATCAGAGGGTCGCTTTGGCCCGTGCTCCGCTCTTCGCTGTCAGCGCCGCTGGTCCCGCTTTGAACCAGCTCTCCCAGCACCGAGTTAGTGTCTGTGTTCAGGCCCAGCTTTCTCAGAGCAGCCTTCACCCCCTCTGAAGAGTAACCCAGCTTCCTGAAGAAGTCCACTCGGAGCTGCAGCTCCTCGCTGTCTGGTTCGTGTTGGTCTGAAGCTCCGGAGCCCCGGCTGGGAAGTGCCTGATCCATCCTGGAGCAAATGGGCATCTTTTAAGAGGTGCTATGCAGCTGATATTCACTGACTGACTGAGGGAAAAGAATGAAATTTCACTTTTTGTTTCTGTTTTGCTGCCTTAAGATTGTTAAAAAGACTGTAATAGACACATGTCTTCAAATTTACCCTGGCATATAGGTCTATTGTTGTAGTCTTTGAATACTCAAACAGATCCACAGACTTTAAGGTCACTATCCTATACGAGTTGTACAGCTGGAGCTTGTAACCATGTTGACATTTTCAACTGCGGATTGTTGTCAAAAGTCATTCCATTAGTTTTATGACTAGGAGTAACAATTCAAATAAAAGTTATTCGTCTACCAACGTAGGCCTATCCCATTACTAGGCCTGTTTTAAGTAAAGTTTGCTCCTCTATTCAGCTGTACTGTCATCCTCTAAACATAAACATAACTGAACTCAACTTGAAGAAACGCACTGCTTTTCACACGGTAGGCTGTAGAAAGGCTATACGTGATAGTATGAAAATATTTGAGCCACAGGCTAAATCTCACCTGAGCTAAATCTACAGTAGCCTTCGTGATACAGGTGACAGGTACATGTTTACAAATGGAGCTTCTGCCGCTCGCGCTCAGGTAAGTTCACAGCTCATTCCTCCTAAACAAATCCCACCGACAGTTTACCTTCACTGTCTGTCTCTTTCTCTTCTCGGTCCATCTGTCATCAGAAATCATCCACAGCTCCTGTTCACGTCTCCAAGTGGGTTACAGTAACTTTGTCACAGTTTCGACTTGAGTAAGCACCTCCCTCCTGGAGAGAGAGAGAGAGAGAGAGAGAGAGAGAGAGAGAGAAAAGGTTTCTTCCCTCCTTCTCTTCCTCCTCCTGCCTGCCGGACACACGCTGAGCTTTGAAGAATTTGCATATCAGAGATCAGATTATAAGTGTTCCCTTTTCCTTCGGCTGTCACTCAGCCACGCTGCTTTGCTTGTTCTTTCTTTTTTTTTTTTTGTGTTGGTGGGTGTGACTCCTGTTTTTTCTTTGTTGTTGTCCCTCCAGGCAAATTTCAGAATACTTGACACAATAAAAGCATGGTAATATAATGTTGATTTGCTGTGAGGTTAATGCATCAGATCACAGCTAAGGCTATCATTACAATTTACAGTAAAAATATTATTGAAATGAACTAAAAACAGAAAGAATCATGTAATGTTTAGGCTACACCTTTGTAAGGGAGCGATGCAAATCATAATGCCAATCTGAATCTAGTCTTTTTCTAACAGCTGTCAACTAGACGCAACTTTTTATTTTCATTTGCAGGTGTGTAACAGAAATTGAGGTAGGCATATCTTTGTTATGTTAATCCTGGCTGGTTTTTAGGGATCTGTATATTTTTGGCGTAGGCTACAAAATGATCTAAAACATGATTATTATTATCAAGGACCTGCATGTAACCTAATGGATTGTAGAAAAACGTAAAATACTGGATTTGAAGGAGGCTACAGTAGAAATGGTGAGACAGTAAGGAGAGCTTTGTTATTTTGTAATGTGATCTCGATGTGTCGACTCTTACTCAATCTCCCCTCCCCTCTCATTGAAGGTTATACTAGAAATACCTAACACAGAAAAAAACAACACAACAGGGACAGGACGCCCTCTAGTGCTTGAGGGCAAAATACAAAAATCTGACAAATAGCATATGAAATATTTAGTAAAAAAAAAAAAAATAATACAATAATTACACAAACACGTACATCTGTAAAATAAAGTGCAGTAAATGTGGAACCACTCATTTTGGTAGTCATAGTTTCAGATATTTACAAGATAAGAGTTCTGGACAAGCATTAATAAACTGACCTAAATGGGTTATAATAATTGAGTTACTTCTGTCAACTCTTGATAAAGAATTCAACATTAAAAGGCTTAATCTAATTAAATAAGACAGTTTAACTATATTTAACTGTTCAGCTTTTTATTTAGTTATATTCGTTTACTTGTTGTAAATAAGAATTCTTGTAAGAGCCAACACTCTATATTTGAAAGTCCTCTTTAATAGCGGAGGATTTTCTGGTGCGACCGCCTTCAAAATGAGCAACAAAATGAGCAATAAAAAAACACTAGGCAAGATAATTTCCTATATTTTGTTTCCTTCATAAAATGTGTAGTTTGTGGAAAAAATAAGGGAGAACAACTAACATGTTAAATAGAGGACTTTTAGATAAATAAAAATCTAGTGTCTACTGTAGCACATGTAACAGAGGGGTCTCTGGGGCCATATACCAAAAGTAAATAAAGCTAGTTTCATAGACACTCAAAGATTAATACCAACACAATATCCCTATCGTTTGGTAGTACGAGATTTTGACAACTACTGAAATCACACAAAAAAAACCTTTTCAGTGTGAGTCATCTTCCCCATTTTCCCACATAGGATTTCCCAAATAATGACTGCAAATGCATCTGCACCTTTGCATTTTCCTTATGGCTGGTTATACTGGTTTTGTCCACTAGATGTCACCCTACCTCCATTTTCCCCCACTGGACTGCTCCCACCAAGGGATAGTGGAAAATGTTAGTTGTGGCTTCAGTAAGCAGGTGGTTAAGTTGTGAGGTATTATGTGTTTTATGTGTTGTGTGTGTGTGTGTGTGTGTGTGTGTGTGTGTGTGTGTGTGCGTGTGTGCGTGCGTGCGTGTGTGTGTGTGTGTGTAAACAACCCTTGTGTACAGGGTTAATGGCACGGTCGAGCTGGGTTCACACTGTGTGCAGCTGGTTAATGGCATATACAGGGTTGAGTTCCGGAGAGTGGAGAAAGTAATCAGGGCCAGTTGCCAGGCGGTTGCCTCCTCTGAGGGCCCACACCGACGGTCCCAGGTGTCTGCAAGGCCTGATATTACTGCGGGGCAATGAGCTGCAGCCAGCAACGATGAGTTGGAGGTGAACCCCTCCACACAAACATCCACATCCACAAACACATATTGGAGCTTCGATTGAAAGACAAGAACGAGACAAAAACCTGCAAAATTCTCACCGTTGTACGAGTGAGCCATCCAAATCTTTTATGTGTAAAAAGTGCATTTTATTACATCACAACTGGCTAGATAGACAGTTTTATAGTTATTTTACTGATTTCATTTGTAAACACTCCTTTTAGCCTACAGTGGACTGCGGTGGAGTGTATTGTTTTTAATTTACGGCTCGATTATATTGGAAAGCATTACTGGCATCCACTGAAGCTATTGTTCCCTAATGCAAATCTTAAACCTCGCTGAGAATCCAAGTGCCCAAGATTGGATGAGATTAGTGCAGATTGGCTATTGTGAACATCAAACGCTTACTTCCTTAACAGCTTGCGGGGAGGCATTACCCTTCTCAAAGGCATATCTTTTTCCTCCAGGCAGGTGTAGTTTGGCAGGGCTTGTTAAACCTGCGACAGTTGATCAAATATTCAGCCAGGCTCATTGTACTGCTGAGAGCTTTTTGGATGTGGTCGGGGCAGTGCTGTGCTGATAAAACCGGCTTTGTAGTGCCTCAGCCCTGGCCTCCCCTTTTGTAATTCCTTTCGTCTACTGCTCGGGTCAGCCGTCTGTCAGAGAATTTAATTTTTTTGTTATGATTTCTTTAAAAAGAACCAACGGGAAAGAAAAGGCAGCCTTTAACTGGAGTAATCCATCTTGGACCAATGGTGTCAGAGTGATTCACGATTTCCAATTTAGCCATGGTTTGAATCTAAAGTAAATCAGGCAGGACGGCTCCACCCTTTGTGCAGCCGGACGACAAACTCTCAGTGACAGGAGGCTTCAAAATGAACATATCCCCCACATTCATCTTGTTCATTTATTACTTCAGACACCCCGCTGCTTGTCCTACATAGATCAGCAGGCAAAGACCTCGACATTGTGTGAGTACAGAGGAGGTAGGGCATTAAAAGTGACTGGGTGGCGAAAGCATTGATATCAGATTTGACAAAAGAGCAGTGGAATAGAGAGGGCCAAGATTCTGACACAGTGTTTAATCAAATGTACTTTGATTGGTGACAACTGAATTCCCCGAGCAAGATGTGAGTATTGCATGGCAATGTAGTGACTGCTCACCTCACTACCTTACTAGAAAAGGATTTAAAGTTCCCATATTTGACACTTTTGTTGCTTTATTTTAAATGATTCAGATGAATTAAAAGACATGATTGTGGTTTAAAGTTCAGACTATTATCCCAGTTTGGTCTAACATCTTTTTTTTCTCTTCTTTCTGGGGCTCGATGGCAAGTACCGGGTGTTTTGATGAGATCGGATGTGTTTAAAAAAATACAACATGCTTTATGTGTCTGAACAATAAAAACTGTCAAAAATACAAGGCAATCTGAAAATCAAATTTAGACAACAAAGCTCAGGTGAATAGAATAGAATACACTAAAATAGCTCTGAAGATTTACGTATTAAGGTTGTGCAATCATGCATTTGTTTTCTTTCTGTCTTTTTTAAGATTTATCTTTTGGCTTTTTGTGCCTTTAATTTTGGGATAGCACAGTGGATAGAGTTAGAAACTGGGGCGAGAGAGAGTAGGGAACGACATGCAGGAAAGGAGAAGTAGGATTTGATCCCAGTCTATCCGCTCTCGATGACTCTGTACATGGGGTGCGCAGTAACCGCTAGGCTACCGGCGCCTCATACAACAGTTTCCTGACATCAAATGATTGTGAAACCTTTCCTCCACATTTTTCTCTCTGTTTCTGTTTGGTAGATGAATACCACAGCTACATATTGATCAAGTAGTGAAATGAAAGTGAGAACAACAAAAAAAAAAAATTGCACTGTGAGTTTGGTTGGGCTATGCAGTGTGCTAGCTTAAATACAATGACTCTGTAGTTGTAACATCATACAGCAACCTTAGCCTTTTGACGTCAAGTTATTGGCTAAAGAGATATATTTCTCCGGAATAAGTGAAGACCCAAACGTAACCGAGGAAAAGTTACATTTGGACTTGAGTTCAACAGGTTGTATTAGCTCATAATGATAAGAAAATATACTTGTGCTTGTTTTTTTTCCCTTGCTGCCCTGAAGTGGCCTAAGAAAAAATATTAAGTTAATGCAAATCAGTTCATGGGTTCATGTAAATTCCCTTTATTGCCTCCACATTACAATAGGTAGTGATGCAAGGAGAGAGAAGACGAGGAAACACATCTTGAAGGAAAAGAGTCGACCTAACTAAATGAAGACATTTTTGATTAAATAATATTTTTATCTGCTTTTGCATTTACCAGTATTGTGTTTAGAATGTGATAATTCAATAATACAGGTTAAGATTACAATGAAGACGTCTGAAGAAAATACTGACCAGTTCAAAATCTAAAACCTTTTTGTATTTCAGTTGGTTTTGTTTTGTATCTGTTAACTTCAATGATCAGTCGGTTGTGTCAGAACAGAGCACTTACAGATTTCCAGTAGTGTATGTCCTCTTCAAAGACAGGTCCCATGCATCCTCACATCTGCCTCGCTCGTATTCCTTCTTGTTTCTCGCTCCCCTGAGCAGATATAATAGCACAGGAGCAGATTACATAATGCTGGAATGATTTCAGGTCAAGCATGGAGTGATCAAATAAGGGAATTGGCATGTATCCCGTCTGTAAACGATTGGTCGTTTGGTAAAAAAAAGGCAGATTTTCTTACTGACCTTTCTGGCATCCAGCCACGCAGGTACTTTTGTTTAGTTTCAACAAATGAGACATTCTCCATTAGTGCTGTATGTGCACATATCAATATATTTCGGGCCTTTATGTGTGTGAGTAGTAAGTCTCTCATGAAAAACCTTTAATTTCCCCTTGGGG